CGGGCTGCTGCGGTGGGAAGCCAGCGACTAACCGCTTGAGCTATGAGGTGGCCCAAGTATGTCAGGTAATGCCTACAATTTTTTTTTAATTAGAACTGGTTGTTCTTTTCAATGAATGCAGACAATAAGCATACTCATGTTTGTTTACCACCACAAAGCACCAAGAACAGAAACTGAATTTCTTTCTGCTTCTGCCGCAAGAGGCTAAGTGTTCCAAGTGGGTGTCTGTTTCCATATTTTCTAGACAATCGGCTCACAGATGGTGGTGAGCTTGTCAGCCTTACAAAAATTCTGCACTTTAGCCCCCACGAAAATGCCTCGTACTCATTTCTGTTAAGAGGCTGAGTCGACCCCAGGGCCATAGTGCAGCTGGAAGGATTAGGTCAATTGAAAAAATTAATGACCTCATGGGGGACTTGAACCCACGACCTTCCAACTTGACCAACTAACCTTCCACTACTAATATTAAACAGTAATGATTAATGTGTTTCTACTAAACCCCCTAACAAAACTGCAGTATATGATTAAATATGGTACACCATTTATGAAATACTTTAAATATAAATGCACAATTAAAACCAATATTAAAGTGTCAGTATCTCTTAATTTTAATAGGCCTCTGTTGTACATAAAGAATCTGCTAATGACTCACCAATCTCAACTTCATTCCAAGCTCCACGTTTGCCTTCTTCTTCCTGAGGTTTCTTCTCTTCAATCATTTCCCTCTCAAAGTCCTGTAATGTAAATTTTGCATGAGACTGGCAGAACGCAAATGCGCAGGCCAAAAATTACCAATTCAAAATTACCTTGAGATAGACTGACACCTGAACTGCTTACACAAACACCGTATATAAAATTACTGCACTGTAAAGTACCGACTGCTCTGTGTAGGAGTTGAGCTTCTGTCAGCAGTGGTTTTGAAGAGTTCTGTCACCTGGGATATAATGCCGTGTAGTCTGTCCAAAGTCAACAGACATTTTGCAGAAACATGTCACCTCCATCTTCAGGGTTGAAGAATAAATCAAGCAAGAAACCAGCTCTGGCAGGTAACAAAGCCAAGCTTCCTACCTGCTTCATGCTGGCTTCTTGTTTCATTTATTCTTTGATCCTGAAGATTCAGGGGACATGTTCCCCCAGAAATTTTGATGATACCCCAGAAGACAGAATTCTTCTGACTGTACTGATCATCTTGAAACTTCTTTGCCAAAATTTCTTTTTAATATCATAGCACGCTTAAAGTTACAGATCTAGTAGAAACATACTCTCATTCTGCCAAGCAATGTACACCTGACGATTAATATTCACTTCACTTTGCAATGAATAAAATTACAAGAACTATTTGTTTTTCATTTAGTCATATTCTGAGCTATTTATTCATCCCTATTTCAATTTCACATGTTAATTCCTAGCAGCATCTTTTCTACCCTTGTATCATGCACATGGCAGGGAGAAAAAAGAAATAAAAGATGGGAAAAGAAGACTGGATTTGAGATTCTTGTAGAGGAGATTGAGAAAGGCACTATCTTCTGGGAAGTAACACCCTGTAAGTCCACTGACACTCCTTCAAAATGCTTATGGACCTTATCACATTACACGGCATTTTATTCCAGAAGGTACTATTTGTCAAGAAGAAGAAGAAAAAGGTTCTACCATCTCAACTATCACATGCTTACTGTATAACGAGTTCTTTCATTTCTAGGATTTCTGCTGGATGTTTCCATTTCAGTAATTTATATATCCATTATAATGGAATACATTTTAATTCTGTTGCAGCTGCAGTAAATAACTGTAGACGGGCAATGGACTGTATCCAGTGCTGACACATGCTAAATCAAAGTGCCTTGCCAAGTGTACATGTATCTGCGGATGGTTATATTGCACTCACAAGTAGTTCCTGAACGTCCTCATCCCTGTTGCCAGCCAGACCATAAGCGGGAATGTCACCCAACGTATGGCAGAATTATGCTGTAGCATTCAGCACAATGGAACCACCTTCCGTGTTTCCTCCTGAGCTTCTCTCCAGTACTGACTCTGCCACCTACAAACATCACAAATCACAAACAGTCAAATTATGTAGCTATACAGCGTTCTGTTTTGTAGTATCCATAAATGCAAATGTGCCCTATGCTTAATTGGTTATGCTCTAGATGGAGGTGAGTGGCCAGTTCCATGCCACTCCCACACCCGGGGAAACAGCCCCCAGGTTCCTATTTGACAGGAGGCCATAATAGGTCTCAATAACCAAAATACATGAAAGGATGACAGTATAAAAAAGTAAAGCTATCCCTGTAACAGGCCGTGGAGGCCCACAGGGGTGTGAGACATCAAGACTCCCATACTTTCTTGACAATAAGCTAACAGATGGCAGTGAGGTTGTCAGCCTTAAATGCCCGCCGTCCTTTATGCCCCAAGAATATTCCTGGTACTCATTTCTGTTAGGGGCTGAGTTGTCCCCAGGGTCATAGTGCAGCTGGAAGGATTTGCTCAATCTAAAAATCCAATTACCTAACTGGGAATTGAACACATGACATTTCAGTTTGTAGCACAGTAAGAAAGGATGATGATATTACTTAAATGTGACGATATGATTTACTGGCTTGAGGCACACCGAAACAAACTGTGAGAGAAACGATTTAATAGCCCTCAGGTTAAATCACAATATAGTTTCTCTAGGGTACAATGGTTCTGTACAGTAACCAAGGAGGAAACATCATAATGAACTTTACAACAAAGTTCTGTGCAACATTTTATAACTGGAAAATATGGAGACACTGTTTAGGAACTAAACATGGCAAAGGATTCTGTAGCTAGGGACAATTTCATCACCTCCCACCATCTATCCATAGGGCTGTTCCTCTCTTGTCTTGGGAACAAGAAGCAGAGAGGCAGGTGAGGGGAATATGGCCTTGATTGAACAAGAGAAATGACCCCTACTAGAGCCAAACATTTGTGAGAAGGATTAAAAAGGAAATCTGCCAATGTGATGTACCTTTTCTACACTGTTCTTTGGTTCTGTAACAGCCTCCTGCAGCTTCAGTCTCTGTGCTTTCTTGAGGGCTATCTGTAGCTCCAGTTCGCTGTCATCGGGCTCAATCTTGATGTTGGACAGTGTCTCCTCTGGCGCTGAAAGTTGTGTCCGATTATTAATAACATTCAAAACTGCTCCTGCACTACATTTCCTTTCATGATTTCACAACACACTTTGTAGCGGAAACTATATAGTATAAAATGGCCAATGATTAGTAAATAATGTATTCAAAAGTCTTGGTGCTTGTCACCTGATTAGGGATACCTAGTCCAATCAACATTTGCCTGGTGGTACTGTGAAAAACCATGAAAAAACCCAAGTCAGGTTAGCCAGATGTTCCAGCGGAGATTCATGAACACAAGAACCCAGTTCTCTTTTTACTTTTTTTTTAATTGTTGAAGTAACGAGTCTGTACTTACGGTACGACTGGGCGTGTTTATCTCTTCTTGTAGCAGTTCAATAATTTTTTGTGCTGATCTGAGTTCTACTTTAAATTTTTGACAACAAGCACTCTTTACCTCACTTATTTCATGACTATCTTTGATGAAAACTTGAGGGTTACCACCATTAACCACAGAACATACCGCCATTTTGGATATCAATAATAGTGATGATTGCTGGATCGATGGTGATCGATCTTTCGGGAATTTCTAATGCAGCTCCTAATAATTTTGTACAAACACCAAAACTATTGAACTCATAAAATAATTTATACTCAACATCACACGGCTCTCGTATGCTGAGTGCCATTAAACTACAAGAATAAAAACAGAATTAATTTTGAACTTTGATCAAAGTTAATGAAATATTTGTACATTTTAAACTGGACAGTCTTCACAGCGTAAGTCTATACCGGTCTATACATGCTGCATGACAGGGCGGCTGGTAACATAGCAGCCATGACGTCACGAATGCATCACAGCTCCCTCAATATTCGGTGGTCAGTCTCTTGATGCATACGGACTGCTGCTAGTGCCGAGAGCCCAGTCGGTAGGAAAGTGTGCTATCATATCACAAGCCTTTGTGTACTACCTCCTCCCAAATAACCACTAGTTCACAAGAATAGCTATAAATAATTTTGTAACCCTGACCTCTTGTACTGCACAGATTTTTTACCCCGTCGTTTTTTTCTGAACCAACTTTAATATTGTGTCACTCATATTCATTGGGAGGGGTATGAGTGAAGTGATATAAAACTCTGTTCCAAAACAAAAAACACTTGAAAGAATATTGTTTCAACTTCAAGCTTACTTTTGAAAGCCACATAAAACATAGCTTTCTGGTTACAATAATGCATTATAAATCATGTATAGCAATCAATAATGCTGAGAAGCTTCATAATCTGTACTCACCAAATATTATTAGTTTCTATATGAATTAGGATGAGATGTAGCATACATGATAGGGAAAAGCATACAAAATTTTGGTATCAAATCTTTAAGGAATGAGACAACTAGGAACACCTAACTACATGCAGATGAGAGAATATTAAATTAGATCTTAAAGAAATAGGATGGAAGACTGTGGACTGGAATCATCTGAGGACAGGGACCATTGGTGAGCTCTTATGAGCAACACAATGAACATTTATGTTGGGAATTTGAGTGGCTCAGTAACTACTGTGTTCTCAAGACAGACTGAGCTCTATGTAGTTAGCTAGTTAGTCAGTATTATTAACAAAGTATAAGAAAAACATTTATTTAAACCCTACAGTAGCACAATTTGAAAATATTAATAACAAGAATGGAAAGATTATACAATATAATTCAACATACCAAACTCCCTAAAGTAGTCTTTGCAGCTCAGTAAACTTACCTGTAGCCATTTTATAAATAGAATTTCAACAAAACATATGTTAGATAAAATGACAAAAACTCATATTTATACAGCATTATAACATAATAGTGAATTTAAATAAGATCTGTGAAATTGCTTACAGACACATAATGTACATTCATGGCTTTATGTAAAGTACTTTCTGTCAGGTCTCAATATTGTTGAAAGCCAGAACTCCCAAATAATTTTCACCGAAAGACTCCAGTGTCAGAAAAAACAAAAAGTTCTGTACAATATTTAATTTGCTGATATATGTCACAGACACATATGACCTACACATAAGGTATATTTCTTCTTTGCTTTGTAAAATATTCCACAAGTCAGATTGATCTTGATACCCTTTTCTGTATGGAAATCTATCACAGAATAGTTTGCCCCAAATCAAGTAATCCAGTAGAAAAAACAGGTGAGCATAAATAGAATGAATATTATGGCTCATACTCTTGACTATAAATACAGCATAGAAAATTTCATCCACATATTATTACTGTTTCTACCACCTAAAAATTGAAGTCCTACTAAGCAAAATAGTCACATTTATAAATAACATGTAGAAATGTCTCCAGTGGGGTACACATGCTTTTCAAAAACATATTTCGCCACTCTGAAGTATTTTTTGGCCATAACATTCATTTAGGGCAGAAATAAATATACTTTTGCCAAGCCCATCACACTACGTTAGAAAATGGGAAAATGGAGCAGAAACCCTAAGAGTAGAGGCGACAGTGAGTTGAGCATGATAAATGAAAAAAGAAGTTATGTCAGTTTTTTGTTAATTTCAATATTTTCAATGTTAATTCATCTTTCAACAGAGTGACTGTATATTTCTGTCAATATTCACAACATGTCTTTCATTTTGCTTTATTTACTGCAATGGTCTTCTATGTACATATATTTTCCATTTTCTTTCCTTGAATAATTCTTGACCCACAGAACTGTATGTTCCATTGCCATGGTAACACAATTCCAAGGGACTATACAGTAAACAAATTACTTCACCTGTTATGGCAGCATGTTTGTGTGTTAAGTACATTGCTCTATGGCGAATAATTTCATGGGTATTCTACAGGTGTAAGGGAATTTTGGCATCTCACCTAAAACTAGTGTTTATAAACTGTTTACTCATTAACTACTTCGGATGAAAATAACAGATATGCATAGTGATGGGACAGCATGCTATTAGAAACACAATTGCAGTCTAAGTTAATATCTCAGTATTTTCTAATGTAAACGAAAAACTTTAGAAAATACGGGGAAATAACAATCATGTTGTTCTAAAATTGTCATATTAAATTCCATCAAGTTTCCTCTAATTGTATTATTATATAAGTTACAACAGCATGCTATAGTTTCCACATGTGATACATCAACAGCAAATACCTATCCACAGAAGTACCATACAAAAATGAAGTGATGTATATAAATACTGTATTAAGTTGAAATAAACTGACCCGTAAAATTTATAAAACAGTGCAGGCCTGCAATTGTATTACTAACAAAGTATTCATATTTCTGAGTAACTGTTTGTTGTTCACAGCAAGGTTGCTTATAGCAACAACAACAATATATTAACAACAACTGTTTAAAACAAACAGGCCCCTATGATACAGTTTTTTTATCTTTAGAATTAACACATTTCTCTTGTGTTTATGATTCTGTCATTCTGCAATACCTGCATCTTGTTTTCGAACCATTCATTTGCCCATTCATCCTAAAGAGACCCTTTCATAGCATTTGTCTAAACTCAGTTACTGAAGGACTGCGGAAACCAGACATTAGATGATTCAGAAAAATATGAATGCAATGTCGAAGGTAACAGAAAGCTTAACTTAGTTTTGATTTATCACAGTAAAAATTTCTTGTTTTGATGAAAAATATTTAATGCATTTTTTAACAAATTACAGGCTAATTTAAGATTAAAATAAAATTGTTTTACCAGTTTTTCATTTTCAATTTAAAATATTCGAAATCTAATTCAAGAAGTGGAAACTTATTGTCATGTGGGATTTAAAATTATAAATTGTTGTGCAAGGTAGAAAGTTATCTATAGTGTATTTTATTGTACCTCAGATGTTTCCAGAAAGAAGTTTCAGTTGTTTTGGTTTGTTACTAGATGATGAGCAACTGGACTTATATCCAGTCACATCATAATACATTAAAAATCAAATGAAATTCAATGAATAAATGAATGCAATATTACAACTACTCAAAAGAATTTCAATATGAACATTATGTTTCTTTGTCTTTGAAATTAGTTCCTTTTGAAAGTTTCATTTTCCCACATTTATGAATTACATTTTGACACAATATGTACTTAGTTTCTGTTTATGTACATTTAAAACTAGTAACTACATTAATTTCCCTGTCTTGTAATTTTGGCTATGTTAATTAACTTCCATGTACCTATCTACAATTATGTTAAGAATTATACATGTACAAACTTTGTTTGTGCTGAAGTGTCTCCAAACCAATGAAAGCTTGACTTTTGCAGAAGTGAAACTGCTCCATGTTGCTAATTGTTCTTATGACTAATTTTAATTATTCATTAATTTTTGTAATAGTACGATATATAAGTATCCTGCAATTTGTGTGAAGCAAGGGGTGGGCAATATGCTACAAGTAATTATATGCTGCTGTGGGGTTTTTGTTTGTCGTTACTTCAATGACAACCCACTTCTTCGGAACAGTTTGTAGGTCCTGAAAAGGACGGTTGGTCGCTGAGATGCTTGGCCGGTGAAGTAGCGCGGCGTGCGCCAGTAGGAAGGGATGTTGGTTGCAGTGTGTTGAGGCGGCTGAGTCAGTTGACTGGCCGCAGTGCGGCCGTTGCTGGAGGTTGCTTGGTTGCTGGAAGAGGTTTGCTTGCCGAGCACGGTTGCAGAGTGGAGAGGCGGTAGCTACACCAGTTGCCCAGTGTGTTGGGCATGACTATCGGCGAATCGAGGCGGCCGAGTTGCCCAGTGAGTCAGGTGTGACCGCCGGACAGTTGACGCAGTCGTGCCTAGCGCAGTGAAGTGCCGATGCCTCCAAAGACCGAGTGCTGGCGACGAAGCGTGCTGTTTGTAGACTGCTGATCGAAGACTGACTGACTTGCGAGCATTGTGCTCCGCATTTTATACAATGCTCAGTGGGCAGACCGAAACTTGCATTTGAGGAGCAACATTTGCAGAGCACTGATTGGCTAGCGAAAATGAGCAGAAATTTGCAGTGTGTGCTGGTATAAATATGAATGAAACGTCCGGCAATGCAATATTCACGAAGGAGTGAGTGTTGTCTAAAAGACTGGTGGAAACAGCGTGCTATGTGGGATGTCCCCACACTGCCAACCTGGAAGTATTGGACTCGCCTTCCTCCCTCCCTCCCATCCTTCCTCATAAAAATCATAAGGTGGAGAGAAGCATCGGTTTATTAATTGGAATGCTAGAGGCAGTTTGTTGCTAATTCATGTCAATGAAGGAAAATAATATAAGCTTCCTTCTAATCTGAAAAGGATGGGAATTCATTCTCATAATTTCACAACTCAAAAGCTTTATCTTTACAATCTGGGAGGAAGAATATATTCTTATCTTATTTTCTTAGAAATGGAAGCATGAGAGATGCCATAATAACCAACTTACAGTCCACATTTAATTTTAACTTAATCACTTTTTCTATTTCTTACTGCGAATCTTGGGATAAAATTCTGATAGAAAGTTGAAGCCAAAACTTTTGTCTTATATATCTTTAGATAAGGAAAATCAAATTAGGTGGAACTTAATTCCTCATATTAACCCATCATGATGGTGTTGTGTTTCAAATGTTTCCTTACATCTGAGTTAGACAGTCAGTCATGACAGGGGCATTTTATAACCTAGTTTTACAGAAATAAACTAAGAAATGCATATACAGTAAAACTTGGTTATAGCAACATCGGTTTCTGCGACACCTTGTCTATTGCGTCAAATTTTCAATGGTACGAACTAATTCCTCATAAAGCAACTGTTTTTATACCTTGCTTAGTACGACACGCACAAATGCTTCAACCTCGTATGTAACGTCATTTTCATTCCTGAATTTCTCTGATATGGACATTGAACGTAATTTAGAAAGTGTGTATTGGGCAAGTAACAGGAAACAGATGAAGATAACTGATTACTGTACTCGTATCTAGGTACAGTAAGGCACAACAATTGATGTAATCTACTGTAATTTGGTGAGTAGGCCTACCTTTAATATACAGTATTAGTGCGGTGTGTATTGTCAGTGAAAAGCGCTGTAATATGTCTTTGATATTACACATTTGGGCAATTCCACGTTAATGTTACGTTAGTCTGTACTTAACTATGTATTTCACTATAAAATGCAACATTTTAACTCGGTTTCTGGTAGATTTTTATGTGACTAACATAAGGCTACGGTGGAAGTGCCCATTTCGCTTACAACGACACTATTTTTAGGTCCCTTTGATGACGTTATAACCAAGTTCTACTGTACATAATTCTTATCATTAAGCTATTCATCTGTGTCATTCATCATGAAACAATATGTCGTTGTTGGAAATTTCAGTTTAATTAAATAAACACACATCAACACATCTGACTTCTCATTTCTTCTTGTAATACCGATGTCCATAACAGCTCAACAAGAGTCTACAAAAATCTCAATATCAATGTAAATAATTTTGTAACATATCCATTATATTCTGATTTCCAGTGTTTTAAATACAGATCTTGACACCACGGCCTCTTTGAATAATTAAGACACTACATCACTGGTAATAAGATTACCGGAATAAGGTGTGAAATCGCTGTATGAATGGCACTCCCCATTATTTTCTACAAGTGTGTGCTGTATGAAAACATTTACTATAGCTTTCCTTCATTTAAATAGAAGAATTAACAATTAGGTACCTTAACGTTATCAAGGAGGATGTGATGTCATGCAGCGTTGTCAATACTTCACCAAGAAAACATGTCAATCCTGTACTCACTTTCTGCGTGACTATAAGGGTGAGTGAGGGTGGGGTCCCACGCTTCCATCCTCAGTACCTCCTGCCCTACCCTATAAAATGAATTATTCATAGAAGCAGTTTGCACAGCCCAATAAGATACTAAGATGCTACATTTTATCTATGCTTCGTGGCTTTCCATGGGGTTTAAGTCCAGAGATGGCGCTACAGTTTTAAATATTTTCATGTGATGTGACATCACTAGATGAAACATGTACAATAAACACAATTCCATTTCTGCAATAAAGGTCTAAAAATGTGCTGTTGTGTTCAGACTTCTTATAAGCAATATTACAATTTTATTTCAAACAATATCTGACTTAGTGGGAAACGTGGTGATATAAAGGCTGAAATATGTTATTCTTTTAGGGAAAAATGGGTATAGATACTGGTGGTTTGAACAATGGATCATTGGTGATGGAGAATTGTGTTTTTAGATCACCAGTGGCATCACAAACATCAAAAAGATTATAAAGCTGCAGCACACAGTAAGTTACTGCTCTTGGAAAAGTGCACTTGAATACACAAAGCAAGTTAATCAAAGCAGGAATAATTTTATTAAGAATGTAAAGAGGATTCAACTGGCTTCCAGTACTTGTACAATCTCATATTATGAACCTCTGGGATGACACCATGTAGTCTGGTAGGTTAAGCACCAATGATGCAGAAGCACCTGCTAAATCCATCTGCAGGACAGAAGTGAGATGTTCCTACCCAACAAATTACATAGTGTCACATCACCCAAGATTGCAATCTCAATATACACTACTGTAATATAAACACTTTATATATATATATATACACATGTTCATATATGCATATCAATGGACAAACTGAACACCCTATATTCCTATGCCAGGAGCCTGATTTGAGGATTCTGCAGTTTTGCACCTTCACTTCCAGTGATTTCATTTCCTCTCATCTTTACCTCCAACTGATGTACTCCTGCTCCTGTCAAGAATAAAGAAATGCATGCAAATTTCTCATAGCACACTATCACACTTCTCGGAAAACAGGATGTGACAATTATTTGGACTCAGCTGGCTTGGAGAGCACACACCTGGAGGACCGAGATCAAACGTTCTCACAGCAATGAATATGAAGGCTATTCTGTGATGTTGAGCCGTGCTAAGCTTTAGCTCGCTCACGATGATGTCATCATCTTTCCTGTGACGGATTCCATCCCCACTATGCGGTATCCTGACATCAGTCACGTGGTCCCAGGTACCCTCTTGTGAAGGGGAGACTTGTGCAGTGCAGTCGTTTAGACCAAGTCGACTTGGAAGGTTGTTTACTAGCCAGCAGGTTTGTGGTGGAAAATATTGGTTTCGAAAGGGGCTGTTCTAAATTCCCTTTGGTGTTATCTGCTGGCCGGTAAGGACTGCCCGCGGTCGCAAGCCGTTGCAGGAACGCTTGCGACGCGCGCATTGGTTTTGGGTTGGTTTTTAGTCTCAGAATTTAGACTTGCGTTTGTATGGCCGGAGGGCTTAACGTCTTGATATTTCTAGCGTCGACACAAGTGGTGCCGATGGGAAATTGTTAGTCTAAATGAGCTTGTCTTTGTTTCTTGGTCAAATGTGTCTTTTTTGTTATTTATGTATTGTTATATTTTGTTATTAAATTGTATCTGGTTTTATCTAAGCCAACGACTGAGTGTAGCTTCCTTCTCCTAGCTTGGATACCCCATCTCCATCTAGGGGAGCGTGCGAACCAACAATAGGGCCAGTAACGATTGCGCTGTGCCCTTCCTCTTCGTAATAATAATAATGGTGATTTATAGTACTCAGTGGAGAGGAAGACGAAGGGCGCGGTGCAATGTTATGGCATGTAGTTCGGAAGGTGGATATCAGAATTCTGGGGGAACCTGCTGCTTCTGTCTTGATACTGTACACTCCTCCAAGACGTTGGTCCCTGTCATGTGCCAGACAACCACGTCTTAATCAGCATGATTATTTCATCAGGGATGACCCTTCTGGTCTTTCGTAACCAGGCAGTTTAAAAAGTAAGTAAAAGTATCCCTCTAACAGGCTGTGGAGGCCCAAAGCGTTGTGAGATGTTGAGGTTCCCACATTTTCTAGACAATCGGCTCATAAATGGCAGTAAGGTTGTCAGCCTTACGTGCCTGCCGCCCTTTACCCCCAAGAACATTCCCAGAATATTCCTGGTACTCATTTCTGTTAGAGGCTGAGTCGACTCCAGGGCCAGAGTGAGGCTGGAAGGATTAGGTAAATTGAAAAAATCCACCTCATTGGGATTCACAGTTATAAATGTTAAATTAGTATAGGAACTAGCTTGTAAGCGGGAAATTTTTGTCAGTACAAACCCTGTGTTATTATCTGTAAGGTCTAAACACTACTGAGACATCACAATGCAAATTCCTATGACATTAGTGCTCATGAGTCATGACACTGGTACTTAACATGAGGTCAGCCTCCTGATTAAAGTGGATTTGAAATTAGTCCTTCTGTGGGAACACTAAGTTAGCATGAAGTATGTGGTATATTTAAACGTCACCTGAAACACAGCACAAAAGTGATACCATTGTCACTAGTCTTTGATTTCAATTATGTAATTTCATCATTACACTGGAAGTAAAACTTGAGCAATGCCTTTCGTCTAAAGAGTAGTCACCATCAGATTGTCCATATGCTATATTGCTTGTAACATAAGTAATGACACTGTCACCTGTATCTCACATGATGTTATAATCATCAAATTAATAAACTGATGAGTAACACAATTTTAAAATTGATATTAATATTCCTTTTTTCTCTCCCCTATATTTATATGACTCTTTTATTTTATGTTTCTCTTGCCTCATTTTGATATTTGATAGCTGTGTTCGTACTTTTGTTATTTCTATTTATAAGTGTTTCCTGATTGAAGTTTGGAGCAAAACCCCAATCTCAAACAACTCTGTACACAATATAATTTGGCTTCTAATGAATCAACAACAAAGCTGTTAACAAAATTATGTATTTAAATCAGCGGCCATATTAATTTTTGTCCACTGAATCAAAATAAAACCAGTTTCAAATATTCTGAGGTTTAGTGAATGGTTTAACTGGTTAAACAATAAGAGTTTTCTTCATGCAGATATGAAAAGCTGGCCAAAATGATCTTGTAAATATAAACATGACAGAGACAGCAACATGAAATCTGTTTGTGTTGATATTTGGTTACACTTGGATTTCAGTATGAAGGCAAATTATGCACAAAGAATCAAACAGACTGTGGTCTATCTATGTACAAGAGGGGCTGATACCAAAAAATTTACTCACCCATAGCAAGGTATCTCACTATGCTTGGTATGTGCTGGCAGACACATTACCACCATGTCCTGTCCAATTGGTATGAACAAACTTTCCAGGACTGGCCAGCAACTCATATGTATGTGCACCAAAGTAATCTCGCTGGGCCTGTTTAAATACAAATTCAAATTCTAAAGTATTGCTTTCCTATTCAGAGACTCAAACAGACGATGACGTTACTCAGGGCACAAACCCAATCATACATATCACTTTACACTTTGAATTAAGCAGAAAACTGCCTTCACTAAATATGAACACAGAGTGAAAACCAATGGATATTTATATAATGGTTGCATAACACCCATTAAGTCAGTGGGACGTCTCATCATTTCTTACATAGGTTCTCAGTCCTACAGGCTATCAGATGATGCATCAAGGCTAATGTTTAACATCACCTCCTACGAACAACAAGCACAAATAGTCAATCATGTTATCGTCTCACAAACTAGAAAGAACTGTGCCTGATCATTAATAGAAACATAAGCAGAATACTTTAAGGGACCACCAAGAAAATTAACAGACAAAAACAAAGGCAAGTGAAAAGAGGCTCTAAAGTTAAAGTTACCCCCATAAGAAGCTGTGGAGGCCTATACAGTTTTTAGACATTGAGATTCTCACATTTTATATACAATCAGCTCACAGATGGGGGTGAGGCTGTCAGCCCTTTGTGCTGGCCACCTTTTACACCCACCCACAAGGAAGATTCCTGGTAGTCATTTCTGTTAGAGGCTGACAGACCCCAGAGCCATAATGTGGCCAGAAGGATTAGGTAAATTGGAAAATTTACACATGAATTTGTCTTCAGTTTATGTTTTCTGATTCCAAAACAAACACATTCTCTTTTTCCACCATATTTCCTATTCTTTCCATTAAAAAGTAAATGCACACATAAATCTGTCATTTCACCAATGACATAAGAAGTGAATCCATCTGTTTCAGTAGTCTTTAGAAAACAGAGAAATGAAGTACCAAACTGTACCAACAGTTGAAAACAGACATTCTTATTTGGAAGGAACGCCTGAAGATAATGAAGTCACTGCAGCTATAAGAACTTGTACCAAACCTTACATAACACTGACTTGATGCTACACTCAAATTTCTGAAATAGACACAAGATTGTGTGGGGCTGACCACCTCAAGACAAACTGAGTGACAAACGAAAAATGGGTTACAGAGCAAGTTATAATCTGCTATTAAACACTGCTTGCTACAAAACCTGACTATGTCTAGTCACTGACATACCTGGATAAGGTTAGCTGGCAGCCGTTCAGAACGATAACCATCATAGAAGGCAAGAGCTGTGCTGAACGTGGGGAGAGGAATACCAAGTGTTGCTCCCGCTGCCACCACCACACGCCATGAAGCTTGGCAGCGCTGTACAGCTTCACTGAAGAAAGAGTCGAGAAGCAGGTTTGGCAGCTTTGGGTTGCGTTCGAATGCTGTCTTTATGTTACCCAAGAACACACTGTAAAGACAAACATACTAGAAGTGGAAATACTGTTGCAGTTCATCAGCACCATCAATACCTCAAGTTCAATTTTCTAACCAACTTGCTTTGAACGTTTCTGGCATCTGAGTGGTACATGCCATTCTTGATATAATACTGGGTAAAAAGGCAATGCCAACTTTATGGATCACAAAACTTCCTCATACTTTGCTATATCAAATCCTACAATTTACGTCTTCCATGGTGCTGTTGCGACAAAATATCCCGGTTACAATATGGGGCAAGCTTTCATTATTCTGTGTTTACAAATAATACATCAAAGATTTCAACAATTTCTAATACTTTAATGATTTAATTATCCATCCTATTTCAAGCATTCACACAGCAAGCCACGAATAAACACGGACGATACTAAGAATCTCCTTTCGCAAGATAGACAGGCGGCACAGGATCAGCCACCTCCAAGAATAACAATAGGAGAATTGACACGAACCTGTATGTTTCATAAATTTTAAGCTTGAACTAGAAAGTTTTTAAAAAACTTTAAGAAGTTTTAACACCAGGAAGGCTGCTGTGAATGTGAAAGGTTGAACATTGAGTACATTATGCATTTCAAACATTATATGTGTATGCGTATAATTAACATCTATTGTAATAGTAGTTTCCGAAAAAGTATTGATGCCCTCTGAGGATGATCCGTACGGATCGAAACATGTAAGGGTGATGAGTCTTCAAATGATAAAACTTAAATAGTCACACTAGACGGTGTTATTTTTGTCTTTGTAACTGTTAGTGTGACGAACTAGAATGATACAAATCAAAGAAAAGCATCAGCTTTACAACCCATTAGACCCCATGCATTCTTTTATGGATGTACAGATCCAGCTTTTCGTAACATTTGGCACTAGACAGACATGAGTGGCTAGTGTCATGCTTTCATTTCTTTCTCAGATGCTACCGCAATATGTCTCACCTGCGTATGATGCATCCACCACGCCACATGAGGGCAATGCCTCCGTAGTTCAGGTTCCAGCCATGCACACTGGCAGCCTCTCTCAGCAGCATGAAGCCCTGTGCATATGACACGATCTTGGACGCGTACAGGGCCTATGCAACAAATGCACATAAATGTGTTCTAAAACAATGAACTGATATCTCATGTCCCTCCGTTTGATAATTTGTCTCCTGTCAGCCTGCAATCTGAGGAGTATGTCAAACATTCAGCCATATGCTTCACATCATGCAACATCATCGATGTTTCTGCATTCAGTATTTTCACTGGTCACAGCTTAGACACAATTTAAACAGCTTTCCTGTAGAGCCAGCAAGGCTGAGTCAGTTTCATTCACAAATGGCTATACAGCCCTTTGTTGGGTTCTGCCCCCTTCTTCCGTTACATTATCTATTTTACACAGACAGTATGACTCCTTGTACGAGGGATCAGCCCATTGCAAGGCTGCTACCTACACACAGGACAACACAAACACAGAATGAACACACACAGACATCTATGCCTTGAGTGGGATTCGAACCCACAATCCCAAAATTTGAGCAAGCCAAGACGGTTCATGCCTTTGATCACATGGCCACTGTGGTCAGTGAGCTCCATAAATTACTGACATTTACTCACAACTGTTGGGACCATTTCTGGGAAAACCGTTTTGTTTTTGCAGGATCATTTGAAGGTCCCGCATTTTTGTAGCTAGAATCTTCATATTTGACAGAACTTACTATCATGGGTAAACTCTCAAATAGCAAAACAGATTACAATCTGTCCAACTGTTCAGGTTACACAATATTTTCTTTCTTATACACATTACGGACATGAGAGAGTACATACAAAAGAGCCACATGTTGCCCAACCTGTCTAATGTGTTCGAGGAACTGCTTCTTCTCCCCTGTGTACTTGGAAGAGGGAGGTCCCTTAAGGACCAGGCTTGCATGCTTTCTTTCATCCAACAGCGAGGAGAGACACCGTGCAAAAACTGATTCCCCAATCAGTGTCACAGGCATACCATACTCCAGTGCTGCCACAGCTGTCCACTTTCCAGTGCCCTTCTGTCCTGCCAAGTCTCGAATCTTCTCTAGGAGGTATGAACCTGTGGCACAATGGGGCAGACCACTGTTAAGTGCTAAGAAATAGAGTATAACAGGAATATGTGAATCCTGAAGAGCACACAGGAGCAAGGGGCACAGCAAGGAACCAAGAAAGACACACTACTTTCTGGTGACCACAGTATATGTCTAGTTGAAAGATTTTAATAAATAATTGGGTAACCTCGGTACCCAGGACTAACACTGAAAATGCCGTGGCAGGCAGTTTAAAGTCTGTAAAATCAGGAAAATTATTACATGTGTAACATGTATAGATAGGCAACGGCTCGGTAAACACATTTCCTAGGTAACACAGTCAACTAGAGAACTTCGGTTACTAGAGTTGTGACACCCCCAGTGTAACTTCAACTGATTACAAACCAATATCCATGACAAGGAACCCAGAAAGCAGACTAACAGCAAAGAACGCGATAACTCTACTGTTGAAGGAGGTGTTTTCCATGCGGTTCGACCTGAACCTACCTCAGGGAGAGAACTGTCCAACAGATCAGTTGAGTACAGAATAACAGAGAAGACGGAAGAGAAACATAAGTCAGAAGAAGAAGAAGTTGGAACAAAGTCTTTACTTTGTGCTGTAGTTACAGTAACCTTAGGGTGTTACAGCTACAGTAAGACTGTGTTAGAACTAACTGTAGCTCTGCCTAGTGCATATCCAATAAATCAATTGGATCCAATCCAGAACCAGGATACATGACTAAACAGAGGAACTGAAGAGGCATTTGTTACAAACAAATGATCATAACTCCTAAACCGTAAGCGATGGGCCAAAACGGACTGCATTTTTGGGAAGCTTGCATTTATTAATGTATTTCACTCTAATATGTCTGGATCCAGCTCTAATGGTTTAGCCATGGCAGGCGGCTGAAAGTCCATAAAATGAGGAAAATTATTACATGTTTGGGTAATTGATTAAACAATGTACAATTATTTTGTGAATAAAATAAATCACCAACTTTTGATGGACCATTCTTTCTTCCTTCATTTATATATAACATTTAATATAAGATATGCCATAGGCCTCGAGTAATCAGCGGTTACATAGGAGGTTGCACGAGTGTTACTTAAATTTACACTTTCTGTTACTAATGGCTTCATTCCATTTGCACCCTCACACAATGTACTTCTTTTGGCTTATTTTGGACTTCACCCATCGTCTGGTAAGTAAAAGACAAAAAGACAAAAAACCACGACGTTTCAGAGACTGCATCCGTCTCTGTCTTCAGGTGGATAGGGAAGGATAAACCTACTCAGCTGGGCCCGTTAGAAAGAGCTAGTCTCAATCATTGGATCCAATGATTGTAGGTTTATCTTTCCCTATCCACCTGAAGATGGAGACAGATCCAGTCTCCGAAACATCGTGGTTTTTTGTCTTTTTGTCTTTTACATACCAGACGATGGGTGAAGTCCAAAATAAGCCAAAAGAAGTACAGTATTCACCATTGTCAGAATCCTTTCAAGTCTACCCTCATACAATGTTTTCAGTGTTAAAAAATATAATACCCCTGCTTCTGTTACCATCAATCCTCCATAACTGGCATTTAGGAAAACTGATGCACGCATCCCAAAGAGAGTCAGCCATGTTTTCGCTGCAGCCAAAACAAAGCATCCGTAAACTATATGGAATGTACTTTATTAGCACACCAAAACATTTCACACTTACCATCAGAATCTTTAAACTTGAGGATATCCTTGGTGATTTCTATGAGGAATGAATTCAGCTCACCCCTGTTCCAGTCTTCAAACACCTGAAACACATCACATGGATCTCGTGAGTTAGGAATATTGGGTTTAACCTGGTGTCAACTGACAGTCTCCAGGATGAGTTCTGTGCTCTGCCCACGCAGCCACACCACATCTCCAACACGTGTAATTTTCCTGAATTTTGTACAATTTCTAAATCTTCCGCAAGAGAAGAACATGTAAAATTGGAAAAATATCTATTTTTGGAAACTTACACAGTATTCCCAAAATCTGCACATTGTGCACATTATCAAATGTTAAAAAATTGTGTCAATTAAAAAAAATCCCTGAGGCTTTTAAATGCTTTGAAATTACCTAATTTTGGGAATCATGAAAACTTTGAGAGTGCTTTAGTTTCGTCACTTTAAATTTTTTTTCTGCAACATCACAATGCTTCACTGGAGCTCACACTTTATCTGTGATAATGTTTTGTCTTATCTTCAATGGGTGGCAGCTTTTCTGGATATTTTGCCTTGCTTTCACCAAGGGATGCTTCTCACTTATCGATATATACCAAAAAATGAAAAATAAGATAAGTCCAATGGTAGACACTTGCTACCATTGAAATGGCAAGCCTGTGAGGGTAGGCTGGGTGTCAGTTAAAGAAGTCTTCACGGGATTATCAGTCCTATCAGACCCAGATGTCAGCAGATGTTTACAAACTCATCACCTTGAGTCAACAAAACCTGACTTACAACTGCAATCTTTAAAAGAATTTAAAGTTGCCAACTCATTCCTTCAAACAATGATCAGTATATTCATGCATACACTATGATCTAGACTTGTATTTGTACCCGGTTCAAATCTCAGCTGACACCGGCTATCTTCATTGAAAAATTCTATGGTTTTCCACAGTCCCTCCAGGCAGATGCCAGGATCGGGTTGATCAGGTTGTACCTGCTTCCTTCCAAATTATTTCCAATTCATCATTCACCTATCATGTTACCATCCAGCATGAGACACTCTCAATACTGAAGGCGATGTTAAATATTCCATGAAAGAAGAACAGTACTCACCTCGCTCATCTCCTGATTTGTAAGTGAAAGTGCTGTTTTCATGAGGTGGTATGCCTCACAAATCAGCTGCATGTCCCCGTACTCAATTCCGTTGTGCACCATCTTCACAAAGTGGCCTGCTCCATCCTCGCCTACCCAGTCACAGCATGGCTCCCCATCCGCCTTGGCCGCAATCGACTGATAATTATAACAGAATGTGTTGCATGAAGTGCAATTATATACACCTGATGTGGATATCTGGTGACTCTTGCATCCAGAATGCATTCTACTTTTTGAGAAACTGTGTTTGGCTGAGGTCAAAACTGAACTGTGAAAGTTATGATTCATTACATGAATAAAAAAGATAAATGTTGCAGACAATATTTAAACACATTAGAAAACTACCATATATACAGAACAACAAAGAAAAACACGCATATGAATAACATAAATAAAGAAATATATAACCCAATATTTCATGAATTACACACAATTTACACAGAATACAACACAACCCCGCCACCTACCCCCACAACACCATAACTCGATCAATAACATAAGCGAACAAAAACAGCACACAAACGCACGCAGCCACAAGAGTAGAACACATCATAAGACATAGCGAGTACTAAATAGTATAATATTAACAACATGAAACCAATATAAATCAAAACGTTATGTTGGCAACTCTCAGATACTGAAATATAATGTTAGAGTTGGCAACATCATAGTAAACAATTTAAGAACTAGGTTATGTCTTGTTACCTAAGTGATGTTTACTGTTATGTGTAACTACAGTTACGTGTGAAACAACAGTATATTTATATTGTTAAGTGTTACTATGGTTATAAGCCTGTATGTATATATAAGGCGTACTTCTGTATCAAATAGCTCAGTCTTAATAAAGCAGGAGTAGAGTGAACACTGATTCTCACTTATCATTCGATCCACGTGAAGTAACAAAAATAACAAACGTAACATTAATATGTAACATTTTTCACATTGCAGACATACACACAACATTAGAAATATTATACACATTATGAATATGAATCAGTGCCACAGGAAACACTGAAGATGGTTTACCATGCCTACTTTCATTCTATTATGAACTATGGATTAATATTCTGGGGGAACTCTTCACACAGTGTAAAAATTTTTAAGATACAAAAGAATACAATTAGAATCATTACAGGATGTAGAAGTAGAGATTCATGTAGAGATTTATTTAAGAAATTAAAAATTCTACCTCTTCAATCACAATATATACTATTGCTTCTCTTATTTGTTGTGTATAACAAAAATAAATTTGAATTAAATTCCAATATCCATAGCATGAATACTAGACAAATATATAACTTCCATCTACCTTCATCAAACTTATCACTATATCAAAAAGGAGTCTACTTTTCTGGCATAAAGGTGTACAACAGTCTAACACAAAGTATCAAAAACCTGAGTAATGATACTAAACATTTTAAATCAGAGCTAAAGAAATATCTGCATGCTCATTCCTTCTACTCTATAGACGAATATCTCAATGTAAATAGAGAATAATGTAGAATTAAGCTATATTAGTTTAAGATAAAATTACTTGTACCAGTAGGTATTATTTTGACTTGTTCTATATCCAGAGGTATTAACCTGCTTAGGATCTATGGAATGCAAATAAATTCAATTCAATTAAAAAAAGGTGCAACATGATGCTAAAATACAACATAGTTGCAGGAGCCACTTATGTGAAAAAGTGTCTAAAACATCTTCAAAAATGTGTCATGATTACATCATTAGAAAGTTATTGGCTTCTTTTTTAAACATATGACAGGAACTCGAACCATCATATTGCAGATCTTGTTGAACACACACAACTCTTCTTCTGCAACACTGCCTACTCAAGATATGATGTACACCTCAAAGGTATTTCAGACAAAGTGTATTGTAAAGTTCAGACATGCCTGGAAAATGCTCTTTATACTGGGCCATGCCTCTGGGTTGCCACCAGGCATCAGTGAAGGGCCATATCTTGCTCCGTCTTCTCCTCCTGATACACCTGACCCCACATACAAGATGCCTTTCTTACGCAGTTCCACAGTTCTTCTTGTTGTATCCTGGTATTCAGAATTCCCACCATCAATGATAATGTCACCCTTCTCTAGCAATGGTACCAACTTGTTAATGAAGTCATCCACAGCCTGCCCAGCTGAAAGTAGCAAACATGACAAATTACAACTGACGATACTCAGAGAAACATTTCCATTTTATTTTTCAGAGGGTGAGGTTAGACTGGGCCCACTTTATATGTCAGCCACTATTTGACCTATTGTACCAGCCTCAGATGATAGACAGGTATGGAGCATTTGGTGGAATTAGAACTGACAGGGGAAATCAAAGTATTCAAAGAAAACCTGCCCCAGTGCCACTTTGTCCACCAAAGATCCTGTGACTTACTGCCTGAATGTATCGAAACTGCTACACTGCTCTGTTGTGCGCTGCAGTACACTTAAAAATAAAATAAAAATAATTGATTAAACTCCATTAAAATTTTGTAAAATCCTATTCCACCTCATAAGGGGCGCTATCCACTTGTTTAGAGCTATGTGATTTATTCCAGAGGTTTTATTTTGGCAGTTTATTTTTTTCGTTAGCCAGTTGTTTTGCTACATCTGCAATCTGTAATCTACAAAATTTGAGGTATAAATTTAAACTGAACAACTGTTGCATTATTGATGGACTGTGATACACTGGGACGTTAATTAAAGATTGGCAGCAGGATGCTGAAATACAGAATTGCTGCCTGGGTTACGGCTTGGCCAACATTTCCATAAGAGCATTTACACAAGGGTGTGTACACCTTCAAGAATACCATTATGTTGTTTTGTGGGCCAACTTGTTACACAAACTGAAAAACTGCAGGGAAGAGACTGCTTGGAAAACCTAGGAGTAGATGGGAAAATAATATTAAACTGGATCTTAAGGAAACTGGGTGTGAGCGCATGGACCAGATGCGTCTGTCTAAGGATTGTGGTGGGCTCTTGTAAACATGGTAACGAATCTTCAGGTTTCATGAAAGGAGGGCAAGGCCTTCACTGGATGAGTGACTACTTGCTTTGCTACAAAGTCTTTGCTCCGTTTAGTCAGTTAATTAGAAACAGAGGAACTGCAGAGCTGGGACAGTGATGTGGAACTATCTGCTCCATTCACTGCCCTACAGAAGACTGACACAGCAAAACAAACATGTTGACAGAGAACAGCTACAACCACTCTGATGTAGCAATGAGCTCAACATACGATAAGATTGGGAAGGTCAGTTTTGAAACATGGTCTGCACTCACCATGCTTGTGAGCTCCATACCTAGGCAACATGTTTGTACTGTCTTGTCATATATTGCAACACCACTACCACAAGGTAAAATTAAACCTGTCCCATACCACGAAATACGGGCCAGTGGGTGTATACCTCCACATATTCTTAACCTCCGTACCAGATGAAGATTTCAAGCTTTCATGGCAAATAAATTTTCCAAGCTCTTCTTGGGTGATCAGCTATGTCAATGTTTAGTTAAAAACCAACATTTCAGAGACCTCCTAGGTCTCCATCTTCAGGATTATTGCCGTGAATGACCATGCATACTGATATATATGCCAGGCAGTCAAATGAATGCCTCATCCTAATGGCATACTAGGCATAAGGCACTGATATGACAAAATGGAATATATATCAGTGACATGTGGACATTCACCACATCAAACCTGATGGCGGAAATAGAAGTGATGTCTGAAACTTTGGTTTTTAACTCACTACTGACACAGCTGAACGCCTGGGAAGATTTTCTTTGGAACTGTCATTAAGCATAAGACAAACTCACCCTTGACAAGCATCATGACACATTTTGGTTTCTTCAGTTTCTGCACCATCTCCTCCAGGCTGTGAGCACCGATTACCTTAGTACCCTTTGCCTCGTTGGCCAGGAACTGATCAACCTTCTCTGTGGTACGGTTATAGGCACAGACCACAAATCCATGATCATTCATGTTTAGGATCAGGTTCTGACCCATAACGGCCAAACCAATAAGAGCGATGTCAGCCCTGCAACGGTCAAGTACTGTGGTGAGGGCTACAGCAAAATCAGCATAACAGTGTTTCTCACAATAATTGAAACACCATCCTCATATGTCAGTTAAATAAATGGTTAACAATCCTGCTTCATATCTGGTTTGAGTCTTGGCTCAAAGACCAGCTTTCCTGAGGTATTTTGTGGTTTTCCTTAGTCCATCCAGGCAAATTCTGAGGCATATGTCATAACCATTTACTTCCACATTATTTTCAGCCATTTATATTCATACCACCATTCAACTTTGCAGCTGAAAAGGCAATTAAATAACCCCAAAACTACGAAAAATCAGAATAAAGAAACCCCAAGTGAAATCATATATTTTCTGGGAATTTCTCCCCTGTAAACTTGCATCTCATTCCACTCAACCTTTGGGCCATTCCTACAGTTACACTTCTTCATTTCATTTATTTTATTATTTAAACATTTTCCCATACTTTCTTTCCTCCTCTTGGTTCCTTTTTCCTCTTTCGGGAAAAACCTTTTCATGGCTACTGTCTCCCACTGGTTCACTCATAGCACCAGTCACAATCACATTTTCCCTTTATCACACTTTTCCAGCCTGGTTCACTTCTAGCCTCAATGCAGAAGCTGCAGGTAATTTTTATCTTCTTTTCCCCAAAAAAATCCAGGAGTTGGGTAAGAGCCTTTTCCCTCCCCCTCCCAAGGAGCTGACGGTTTCGGTGTATTCGACACTGTCTTCAGCTTTGATAGCAGCGTTTAATAAACAGTATTTAAACAAAATACATGCATGTCTCTTTAAGAAATGTGTTGTTCATTGTGACAATACAAAATTAACTGCGAAAATAAAAACCGAAGCTGGAGGCAATACTCACTTTTCGGACATAGTTCTTTTGTTGGGGGCAAAACTCGTCAGCCAACTCGGCGTCAACCTTTCTCTTCGGATATCGCCAGTAAAACACAGCTTTAAGTCTATAAGGCTACGATGTTATGTAATAGACTCGCCAACTAGGCCACCGCAATCAAGGACATTCCACACCATCGTTCTTACAACACTTCTTACACTCGTACAGCACCTACTTGCTGACAAATCGCTTTACTCCAGCCCGCTCCAGTTACATCGGGCGTGATTGGCGCGTCTTGCACGTCTTGAACTTGCGGCTGGTTGCTATGATCTTGCGCACAGCCCAACATTGCGTGTCACTTGTCATGATGACTGTGATTCTTGGTCCCATCGGCCATCTTTGCTTAAATTCTGCCATTGCCAACCATAAAACACAGAATTGTCTTCACATCTCTTAAACGTTCCCGATGAACTAATCATTTAACAAATTTGGTTCGAAAAAATTGCGCGCTAATGATGGGAGGCTCGTTTTGTGAAGATCAAGCTCAAGTCTAAATCTATATAGGCCTATGAGGTTACCTGATTTTATGCCTCACTGAAAGCGCTGACGAAAACATGTTATTATAAAAATCCAAAAACAACATGCAAGTTAATTGCGTTCCTTACATTAAAATAAAGTAGTTTTTTTTTTTTTTTTCAAATTTCTATGACGTAGGCCGTACTAAACAGTGAACTACACCTTGAAGTAAGTCCTTTTATTTTCATCTAGGGCATATTGGATGTGAATGCTTTCGGGAATAATCAAGATCATTTTAACATGATATACGAGGTAGAGTTATACTTAAATTGGAAGGTTGATAGGTGCAACTCTCGGCACCCACGAAATGTCTCAGACACACATGCTGTTTCCATTTATAAAATATACGTTTTGCGCCAAAGGAACAAAAAACTTTCTGTGTCATTAAGCCCTTTCCCAGTAATTGTTCATACGGGAATGAATTCCGGGATCTGAATTGTTACAATATGTGTTGGCCATTTTCTACCGATCTCAAGCGTTTTAGCTGTTATAGAAAGTCATATCCATCCCTGGATGAGATTCAGCACTATCAATTTCCGCAAGTTGTAGTTTCTGCTTTTAGCAGAACCTCTGAGTAATGATTCGTTCAATAATTTATGAAATATTTACGTCAATGTTAAATAATTAAGGCAGGAACATATGAAAGATTTAATTTAGCTATATGTTTTGAGAATCAGTCACTAAATGCAACATACATGAACAACTCAGTTGTACTCGTACCTTAAAGTACTGGAAATAAGTTTCGTTGAAAAACATTTTTATAACTAGGCAAGTGACGTCTTCACGAGTCTACTATCATTTTCAGTCCAGATCATCTCAATATAACATTTCACGTTCTCCGCATTATCTTTCGTTGCTCCTTGAACACGAATCAGAGTGAGGAATCGTGCCGAATTAATGAGGAACATTCCCAACCAAGGTGAGTCCTTGATACGATTTGATGCCGTTCACCTTACACCCCGCCCAAACATTTTCGCGTTTGCGTTGCCAACATTGAAAGTTTGTTACTATAAGTTCTTTTGGTAAAAGAAAATGCGAAGCCCAGCCGGAGGGTATTCTTTATTGTGTGGGGCTATGTATTTACAAGACAACCGCTCTACCCAGTAGAAGCTCCACATGAACCATCCTGTGATTGAATCCAAGCCCCTGTAGTGAGAAGGTGGAGACTAAATGCCTAAACATTGGCACAGGCCTATCTTGTGGTATTTAACAGTTCATATTATCTGACACATTAATAGACATGCCACAATTTCTCCTTATGCATTGAGATCTAAACTTACAGTCCTGCTTTTCACCAATACTCACATCATTTCTCCTCTCACACAAGCAACAGAACACCATAAAGTAATAAGTCTCTTAAGTTGTAATTAAGACAGGGAATGATGGTCCTACTGTTATTAAGGAAGAAGAGTCTGCGAGACTACTATAGAGAGTTACAATTGGATAACAGTGAATGTTGAATGAAGGGGGATATAGAAGAAAGTGATCATGATCTATTTTAAGTTAATATCCCCTAATTTGCATAGAGGGACTCAGGAAAACAAATGGAAATTTAAGTCAGAATAGGATGTGAACCAGACACTTTCAAAATGGGATTTTGAAGAAATTCCTCAATTTATTTACTGTGTTGTAGGGATGTTGAATTATGGGCACAATCTATAATGTGCAGTTGTCATGTTGGCACAACTGGCACTACATACTGCTGCCTCTAAAAACAACGAAACCAACAACACCACACCACAGCTCTGGAAACAGACATGTTATGGTACTTTTTCTTTGGACATGTTAAANTATATATATTTAGGAAAATACATTTATATAGCAGTTTTGGCTAGGCAATTCACATAGTGTAGGCCCACCAGGTGAGGGGTGGAAAAACCTCCACAGCTTCCAGCTCAGCTACAGGGAGGAGGGTGGGGATGTTCTGACACTAACCTCCAGTCAAATAAAATTCCTCCCAAACCCTCCATAAAGAAATCTTCAGATCAATGCTGTATGTTGTGATATGCATTTGATAGATTTTGTCATACCTGCAATGAAAAGTTGCAAAATGTGCATATCAGCTATGTCATGTCTGTGTCTCTATGAACATAACTTCAGAAATAATGAACAAATGATCATGAAAATTTATATTGGGGAGTTTTAATAAAATTAATTGAAGAAGTCCAATCTTTGTTAAAACTGGGCAAGAATAATGGACACTTCACATGATGACCTACACGAGTTTCTGTGTGCACTGTGAACATAACTGGCCAGATATTTATTGGACAGAAAATTTTTCAAATCTGGAAGAAATGAAATGGAAGTTATAACTAATATATTTCTTTCTCACGGGCTTCTGATAATTGAATAAGAGGGAGAAAATATATCCAAATTGTACATATTATGTTTTGTTTTTATTTTGCCCACATCTGTTTGTGGTGCCATTAAGTAACTGCAAGATTTCTTTATGAATTACATACAAAGAAAAAGGAAATGAACCCATGAAATATCACCAAACAGAATCACCATTCTCTTGAAGTATTACCTGGACCTAAGGGTTGTAGAAAATGAAAATGCAGGACCCTTCATGATGATAAACTGGAAGATTTATACAGCTTACATGATAAATTATGGTGACGAAATCAGGGCTATGATATGCTGAATAATTAACTCAAAAGAAGAAAACAGAATTTTGAGGGTGGCAAGAGGACCCCTTTGCAAGTTTTCAGTTGAAAGACCAAGCAGAGAATGAAAAAATAATATTAAATATATCTTAACCCTTTCTATCTCCAAATATTTTACCCGCTGTCATACCATCCACACCAGATTTTCTTGGAAAATAAGTATACCTAAAAGAGGTAAAGTTGTCAACCTGCTTAAATAAGCACCACCCATGAAGATATGTGAAGGAATAGTAATATCGCTCCATGCATTCTTAACCTCATCACCAGATCAAAGTGAGTGGTCAGATTCATACTCTGACTGCTTTATCCTGGGGGAAGAAACTCTGTTACACATTGCATTGGAGACTGTGGAGAATAGTATAATTTCTTACCCCAGCCAAAAACAGAATTACAGTTCCTTCGTCAACCATCCTGCAGTACAGTCACTATAGTAACTGAGTAACCCTGTCTCCAAAACAAACAATATTATTAAGAAAGCAGTCTTCTGGGATTTAAGCCTCAAATCTTACAAACAATATTATTGTTGCTTTCTTGATTTTGCCTGAGAAAAAGTTTACTATCCCTAAAACTTACATTATTTGAACAAGCATGAAAAGGCAAACTTTCAAAGAACATATAACAAATGAGTATTCAACATCAATGTAAAAAGAGAAACAAATTTTAAATGAGTACTTTTGGGGGTTTCCCTCAAAATGTTAAGGAAACAGGATGTGAAGATGTGAAGTAGATTGAATTATCATAGGATGGTGTTTAGGGGTAACCTGTGATATTAGGAGCGTTCAAGCATTGAGTTCTGCCATGCACTTAGCAAAGTAGAAATATATTGCCTCTGTCTTGGACGTGTCACAACATGCTCCTGAAGCAATCAGCACATGTAGAGACAGACACATCTTGTGACCATCCACTTGCATTAGGACTTTCCCTGGCACACTGTACATTCAAATTCCACAAATGACTTGCAGGCAGAAATAAGTTATAATAAGTTTCTGATGAGTAGGAATGAAATGTAATTTAAAAAATCAAAGAACGTTTCACCTTTACACATGATGATGATTCTTCCTTCTGAGGTCAGAGAAGTTAACTCATACAGATTTTCAAAACTAGGTCTTCTGGATTGTGACGCCTTGTAGTCTGATAGATATATACCAATGTTTTGAAGGCACATGTGGCCTCCATTTTCAACCCCTGACATGGAGATAGTGCATTCCTCTGAAAGGCGGGCACCTATCTGCACCACTGCATGGCATCACATCCCAATAAGACCATCTCCTTAAACCACCATAAGGACATCATATCTCGTACAAAGCTAATGGAACTGGACATAGTTAATTGGATATTTTAATTGGACACTATGAGTAAATTTTTTATGTAGGGCAAGTGTACATATAAGCTGGAAGCCATGGGATCCATTTCAGTGGTACAGAGCCATCCAGCAGAGCACCAGAATTTCAGTATTAGAAAGGAAAGAGCACTTGATAGACAAAGGGTGGATGCCCTTTTATACAGTTGCTCGTTAACAACATGTCTCTAAATTTCCAACATATCATTCAGGAAGACAGACCAACATTTCAAGGAAAATGTTACAATTCACTGGATGCACATATATACTCATATCACAAGCTTGGAATTGAACCCCAGTCCTTTGAGATGAGAAATCATTTAGGACTGGTCCAGGTGCTCTTGATTGGACATCCATCAATGGGCAACATGTTACAGTTTCAGAGACAGGTGTGAACACTGAACAGAAACAATTGACTGGAGCCCTCAGACTATCCAAGAGAGAGAATACGAGTAACACTGACTACAGTGCCACCAAATATCCCTACTTTGACAACAAAAATAGATTCACCTACGTTTTAATATTTCTCCACTCTGATACTTTAAAATATATTGTCAAAATGCTTCTCCCTTATAAGTGCCAATGTCTGTACATACTATGCAGTCTGAACTGTACGCTGCTGACTACAATTCAAAGAATGAGGTTGTGATGAAAAAGACTAGCATCGAGTTACGAATCTTAATGATACATAACATACTAACTTAAATACTTAATGATTAATACCAGACTCAGAACAATGAAACAGATACTACAGCACACATTCAGAACTGTTCCTTCCATTGTTTCAGAAGCACTTGAAAGATTCTTTACCTTGGAATGATTTCACTTGCAGAGCAACATGTGGTCTGTAACTAATGCTTCTGACTAGGGTACACAGATATGCCACTCAATACTGATTTAACGTGCATCAAGTTCACTCACTTGCAGGTTTTGACTTCATGTGGCCTGCCACGCTTGTCACTAAAATAAAATTATGAATTCAATAAACCCTGCTGTTTGTATGATCAGAAGTCATATATCAAACATTGTTTGAATGAAAGGGAATGTTTGATCATAACTTGCCGTGTCTGCCATAGTCAGATGAGATATCTGCTGATGGACAGCAAGTACAGATGAAGACAGTCATGTTCAGCAGCTGGGTCATCATTCCTGCCCCTGTGGTTTATGCAGAAGCTGATGGTGGTGATGGTGGTTCTTCCTGACACGGAAGCTTGCTGCTAGGGAAGCCATCCAGCTGTGCTGCTGCACCTTGCTGGGGCCGCCTTCACTACCACGGGGCCTGGTTCCCTCTGTGTGAGTGTTGCTCCGTCCCAGGCGTGTGAAAAAATGCTGTTTTGACCGTGGACTGCTAAATATATTGGTCTTCTTGCGGTTGTTGTTGTTGCCAGAGGATTTATCTTGCCCCTTCAGGATGCTGTCTAGGCTCCCAGAAAGAACTGCCAAGTCATTTTTCTCTCCAGTGGGGGATGAGCCTGCAATATGACAGGAACTGTCCTGGTTCTCCATCTTGTTGTGACTGGCTTCGGGCCCGTTGCTCTTCGGACCTTCTTGACCTGGTATCTTCACAGTTCTGGAGGGGCTTTGAGACACTGTGCTCATTGTATGCTTGCTGTTGTGCTGCTGTCGTATGTCTGGTAAGGAGCTCTCTGAGGGGGAGAGAAGTTCTAAGGAGGATGATGGTGAGTAACATTTCTCACCTCCACCAATAAGAAATTTCCGCCCTATCTTCCCAGCACTTTCAATACTTTTTCGTTGAGGTTTCCTTGTCTTTGATAATGGTAATGTCATGGCTTTTTTCACAGACTCCCCCACAGACGTCATGTCTCCAGTGTTGGCTGATGTAGATGATGTACTCTCTGGTTTGTTTAGTGGAGAAGATGAAGACTTGCTGCTGTCACTGGGTGTCATGTCACCGCTGTGCTTCTCACTGCTGAAGGAGAGCCTCTCTGCCACACTGAAAAGCTTCTTCATAATAGCTGTCTTCTTGGCATTGTTCTCTCTGTTCCTTGCTTTACTGGCCTCCTTGTCTTTGTGAGGAGTGTCATGGTTCTCACCCCTCAGCACAGCACAGTCTGTTGCCAAGCTGCTGTCACTAGTCTGCACTTTGAGCTGTTCACCTGTTTGCTTCACTGAATCTCCAAAGCACTTTGTCTCACCATTACAAAGCTCCCCCCCCTTTCTGCTGGTTGTCTGCACTACACCCTGCAACTCCATGTCTTCTGTGCTACCATGCCTCTGATGCTTACCTGGGGATGGTGATGAGAATGGACGGTCTTTGGATAGCGGTGGTGGGGATGTGGGGGTGATGGTGGGTGTATGAGATAAGTCTCTGAAAGCTCCAAATTTCTCCTGGTCGTGGAGTGCTCTGACAAGGTCGTGCACATTGTGATGGCAGTCCTGCAGCTGTGTCTTCTCACGACTTCCCTTCCGACTACCAGGGTAGCTTTTCCTGCCTCCAGGTGTTGTGACACTACCTTCTGTTGAAATCTTGAACTTCAGGGTCTTCTCGCTCACCTCTACTTCTGTTACTGTCTCTTCCTCTTCCTCTTCCTCTGCTTCCCCTTCCTGCATCTCCTCCATATCTTCCAGCACTGTCTCCTCCTCTACTGTTTCAGATGGTTCCCACACAGTGCCATCTGGTGTCACCTGCAGCAAAAACAGATGCTTCAGAAGTTCCTCCAGTTTGTTTTCAATCAGTGTCACTGACAGAGAGCCAATGGTTCATCCATCTTTTTTTCCCACATAACATGTGTAAGTAGAACAAGGGCACACATTTTATTCAGCCTAACTAGTTTCATGGGTACCCCAAAGTCTATCAGAATATTGTACAATACTTCCCTTCTAACTGAATCATAGGCTTTCTTGAAGTCTATGAATAGCTGATGTACGGTCTTACTGTGCTCACATTTTTTCTCTAGTATCTGACGAATGCTAAAAATCTGATCCGTAGTTGGTCTGTTACATGGAAAGCCACATTGATGATCCCCAATGATTTCATCTATGTATGGACTTAACCTTGAGAGAAGAATATTGAATAGCACTTTGTATGAAGTTGATAGCAGTGATATCTCCGAATAATCACTACAGTCAGTTTTATCACCCTTCTTATGAACTGGTACAATAATAGACTCTTTCCTTTGATCAGGCAGTTTTTCCTTGTTCCAAATAGAATTAATTAGTTATGGATCTTGGAACATAATATTTCACCTCCTGCTTGAACAAGTTCTGTCAGAATTTGATCACTACCTGGCGATTTATATTGCTCAATTTTGCCATAGCAATTTCAAACTCAAAAGGTCTAGGATCAGGTACTAATGCCTCAGCTGCAAGTATTTCTTTCTGCCTAACATTACCATCCCTATGTACGTACATTCAATAACAGAGAAGCAGTTCCTCTACCTATTCAAAATGTTGGTATCTGCAAGATCATTTTCATCATTGTCAATAAGATTTTTGGATGTGGCAAAATTGAAAAAAGACCCTTCCAGCCCCCTGCACCATATGCCTGTTTATAACAAATTACTCATAATCATACTTTTTATATTTTTCTAAAAGATCTCTTTTAAAACAGGGCATTTAATAGGAATATGTTTAAAGTAAGGCACTGTTATAAATAAGCAAGCAGATACAGGGAATCACTAACTATGGGGGTGCCAAATTATATGACCACAAAGCTTTTTATTGCTTATAGAAACACATGTAAATGTGATAAAATTAACATTGTGAAGGTAGGGCTTATACTGTCTACTTGAAAAAAACTGAGAATGATTAGTGCAGATGCTGACAGAAGCTAACAGGAAGAAGAACTTCGGAACCACTTGGATGGACCAAAATAGGTAAATGTAGTCAAAACTCATTAGGAAAACACAAAATCTCTATTAGAAGTTTAGGTTGGTTTAGAAGTAAACACAGAGGAATCTTAGTGGATTTTCATGTCCTTTAACCTGACTGCATGATCATTCTTACCCCAGGTGCTGTCATGTCATCATCTTCATCTGCGGACCGGGACCGTGAGCTCGCCCCCAGGCTGCGCCGTGACTTTACACTGTGTCCACTGGCAGACTTGACAACAACTGGGGCACTGGTCCCATCTCCCACACTCTCTCCTACATCTGCAACACTTTTCCGATGAAGGCGCTCATCTTTTGCTGCCTCGTTCAGCCGTCGATAGTGATCCAGAGCGTCCCGTACTGGCTGCACTATCAGATCCTGTAACATTTCGCTTCATGAACCACAAGCAACACGATGAACTTGCTTCCTCGCCCACATCCACTCATATGTTTACCTGAAGTTCTGTGAACAGTTCTCCCAGCGCCTCAAACAGGGGCAGCAGGACAAACCCGATGAAGCTGCACTGAGACGATGGCTTCGTGATCTTCTCACGGTCCATGAAGGGCGTAACAGGCAGCCCCTCCAGCTTCTCTGCATCACTCTGTTTGAAGAACTCCTGCAAAACAACAAGCTTCAGATGCTAGTCAAGGGCTTTGGGTTCACTTGGACGACAACGCCTCACATCCCCCTTCCACAAAACTCCATCACACTAGGCAACACCAGAAACCCATGCGCTTTGTTGCCAGGCAGTGCTGCTTCACAAAAAGCTGAGACTGATAAGTGTTAGAACTACAGTTAGGGGGTTTGTAAGCATGAAGTTTATGGAATCCATATGAACCATAAACCCTACACATATGAAATTTGGCACACAGGTAGCTGAGGTTTCTCTATATCAGCCAGATTTCTTTAAGGCGATTTACTTGTAAATGTATTTTTAATTTTTTTCTTTAAAAAAAGATTTCAAGACATACCATTTATTAAAAAATATGTTTATAAGAAATAAATGTAAAAAATAGGTTACAAGATATGGAGAAACCTCAGTTACATGTGCGCCATATGGCACACGTGCAGAGCTTGTGATTGCCCTATAGTTGATAAAATTAACAGTGTGAAGATGGTTCTCCCAAATCTCCTCTTTCATAGTAGTGATGTGGAATAAATGAAAGGTTCTAAATAACATAAAATTCATATTCTGATCAAAATTTCTTTCTTTTTATCTTATGCATTCATTTCCTTCTTACAGAGAAACTCATGCTAGACACACGGAAGGGTAGGGGACAAATGGAAGGTAGCCCCATGTCTCCCAGGTTGTGCATTGGCTCTCAGGCTAATAACTTCTCCCGGAGAAACAATATGTGTTCAGAAACCTGGAGGCCAAACATTCTCACATGAATATGCAGTTAACACGTGACAGTAATTGTCTGTAAACTGGAAATGCCTAACATGTCTATTTGAAGTCTATTTAAGTTGACTTCTTACTCTGTAACCTGTTCAGTGCTGAGTCACAAATGAATCTGTCAACTTAAAGACTCAGAATATGATAATGTGCTGCATGGGCAGGGCTCTTGCATTCCTCAGGCAGTTGTGATAAATGAGTAAGAAGCAATGGAGGAATGATGACTGGCATGCAAAAACGGAACAAATTCAGAAGAAAACTGCAGTAGTGCCACTTCATTTAGCACAAATCTCAACCAAGGCATCTAACCCCTTGAGCCTTTATATCATTACATGCCCATTAGCATGAGGAGCATAATTTAAGAAATTGTAAAATAACAGAGATGAGATTGTATGGGTGTCATTTATGAATGAACAAAGAGAGAAACCTGAATAAGATTTTGAATGTTGAGCAGGGAGTGAAACGGCCAAGAGGACTGAGATCAAGAAGGGAGCACACACAGGGAAGGAAGAACGTGAGAGAAAAGTAAGGAGGAGGAAGTTCTGGTTGCCAGACCACCCACATAAAGCAGAACTGTTAATGGCAGAAGAAACCAGAGGAGGGAAAATCTTAAACATCATTCAACTTCAGCAAACTTTTTTCACATGGTTTGTTCAGATTTCGAAATGTAAGCACTCTTCTGCAGTTTCCTTCCCACCCGTGTTCCTTTCTTGCACACAGACAAAAGATATGTCAGTTGTGCCCTTCCTGCAGCACCACAGAGTATCAGTGGCTCAAGACTGATGCGTCAAGTGTTTGGTTGCCGGGGGCAACCACCCTCTCCCCTTGTTCCCAAGAGACTTGAGAGCAATTACTAACAGCTCACTGACTCCCCCTGGCCCTGAGCTAAATGTGGATATACATGACCAGCTGACGACACAGAAACACAGGAAAGAGCACTTGAGATCAGGGCAGAAAGCACACCAATTATGGTGCTTGTCAATACCAGGCTCTTAAAGGTGAATTTAAATTCAACTGCTGTAACAAAATCAAGCAGGGGTAAGTAAATTGGCCTTACCTGCAGTAGTCTGTCCAACCAGGGTTCTGCGACATCCATGGGCCGTGCCTCATTCGATATGTCTGCCACCTTGATAAGCACCATAGACAGCTGCAACAAGAAGTAAACTGTGTCACTATTCCTCAACCAGTGACCAACCAGAAATATTTAAATTTCACTTCAAACTTACAAGATTTGTGTGGGCCTTGTTGCTGAAATCAAACTCTGGAGTGATCTCCTTGAACTGTGCAAGGATCTCGTTGTGTCTTGCCATGTCAGTGGCCAGGATGCAACGGATTACGCCCTCTCGAACTTGACGGTACATTTCAGGTGACAGGCTGTGGAATATGTTGCAGTTCTCATCTTCCAGCACCCGGAATGCCACCGAGCAATGATGGTTCTCCAGAGGTGAGATGTCGTTATAGCGCAGGGCCAACTCCGTTTTTGCGTTGATCTGCCAACAGATATGCCAAGTTGAGTGATGCTAACAGAATCTTGAGTAACGTCACGCTCAGGAATCAAGATGTACCTGGTAGATGTTGTTGTAGCCAGGATGGTCCAGGTCATGGCAGATGCAGGAAGTCAGTAAGATCAACGTTTCCAGGTCCCCAATCTTACTGGGCAATTCCACGCACCACACCATCGAATACATCTAAAACACAAGAGATTAAGGATCATATTGCTTTTAAGAGTAATGTGTTTGGTGTTCCAGATCACAGCTCAGATGCTTTATTGCCTACCTTTCCAATTTAGAATTCAACAATCAACTACCATTCAATGCTAAAGAGTCTAGCTACTGACTGCATCATTAAATAACCCACATTCTACGTCCTGTGGCCTTTTGAGGGCCAGGGCACAATCCCCTAACTTCTTTCAAAGATAACAATGTTGAACACAGGCAATGTTTAATGGAACTAATACAATCTCTGTTTTTAATTAACTGCTTGTCATTGGCTTCTGTAAGAATAATACAGTATTTTCATGAAGAAGTCCAAAAGGAAAATTCTGGAGGTATTTTTTTCAAGATTTTAGATGCAATGGAAATAAAGGTGAAGGATAAAGTTGATCATGTGCTTAATTAGTTAAGCACTATGCCATGAAGACGTATGTGGGAGTGGAGGTACAGCTTCACCTATCCTGACTTCAGCATTAGGTGGAGGTGAGTGGTCAGCTTCATGCCCCTGCCACTTTACACCTGGGGAAACCCACTGGATAGGAGGCTGCTTGGACCCCTGGGTATGTCTGGACGCTGTGGAGATAAGAAAAAGCTTGCATTGCCGAGAATCGAACCCGGGCTATCCAGCATAGCCCATTGCTATACCAACTGAGCTATCCTGAATCCTCATGAAAAGGAAACAAAAGAAATATTAGATCTGAGGTCAGATGATGTGGGGTTTGGAGATGTGACGCCGTATAGTTTGGTAAAAGTTCACCGACGATTAGGAGGAACGTATTGCCTCCATCTTCAGGGTAGAAGTAGTGCTAAGGAAGTAATAGGTAAGAAAGGGACAGCAAACTCAGCATGCTTTTGGACACTAAAGATTGCGACAATACAATCCTCTGAAATGTCGGCGAAGTTCTACCAAACTATACGGCATCACGGCCCAGAAGGCGGTAATCTTCATAAGACCTTATAGATCGTTTAATTTTCGCCCTTTCTGATGTGTGCAGTATTCTAACGTTTTAGTTGTGCACAACAGCCTTATATCACCCCAGCATAGCGCGACACCAAAGCACATCTACTCCACCAACAAGTGTACGTCATACCTTGTGTAGCCAACCTAGGAACAAGAAAAGACGCAGTCTTTCGTCAGCGATTCGTAAGCATGAAGATGACGTCAGCATCATGACTCAGACCGGTGTGCGGCAGTTTTCATCTCATTCGTTTCAAGTGTGCTCCTTTCTTTGCGTCATGTCGCAGACATCGTGTCTTGACTCTTACATGTCTTGACGCATACCTGTGTGGGGCCTACCTATATGCACAACATGCTTTAACATAAGAAAACTCTGCATTATGACCACAGAGTGTAACTGTGTGCTCTCTATGGTTCTCCAATAAACAGCATTAACTGCTAGGGCTTTGTAGCGGAGACGTAATGTTTCCTGTGAGGTACGGACTGAACTTTTATATATTATTCGTAAGAAAGCCCGTCTTTAACCCCATGTGGAGGCGGGGTCGAATACCTCCACCGTGACCCTGAGAGTCGTAAGAGGCGACGAAAAGGGAAGTCTCACATCTGAGACAGCAAAATATGTCGCGATTCCCAAGGGACTCGGACCCAAGAAAGACTTCGCTGGCAAAGGCCAGCAGCACATACAAAAGTCAGACCCGTCCTCCCGTCAGAGAGGGCGCCCCACAAGAAGACCGTAACTGCCAAACAGAAATAAAAATCTGGTCATGAGCCCCCTTACTGACTGACTGACTGACTGACAGTCAGCCTCAATGTGACTTTGACTTTGACTTGACCAGTCTTCAAAGGGTTAAATACCATGCCATGATGATGTGTGGGATAGTCAACTTCACCCCCAAGGAAAGAGCCCTCGATACCCCCTGGACAGGAGGTCGGGCTCACGTAATCTGATCCCCACAGCAGGTGGAGTATACCTGTCATGCGATAAACAAATAGCCCATAGTGGACTCACCATCTGCGCCACACAGAAGCAGTGCCTGAAGTTATGGAAGGGCACCTCATTGTAGTTCTTATACACCTCATAGAGGAAGTTGCGGAGCGTGGGCAGCTCAATGCCGAACTTGGTGGTAAGGTCCAGGTCAAGGTACATCTGTTGCAGCAGCAGGAGAATCTCCTCGTCCTCCCACTGGTGGCAGTCAAACGTGGGCTGGCGAAGGTACTGACGTACTTCCTCGGAGACCGCAACATCACTGCAAGCACAGCACATCCACACTGCCTTAGTACAGAACATTGTTACCGTCGCCAATCCGGAGAAAATGGTGGGGGAGAACATCCGAATTAAGCGATAATCCGGATTAGTTAAGCAAGATGTAGCCCTAAAAGTAAAAAAGAACACAAAACATGAAAAATTTAATGATATAAGTAGTGCTGATGAGAGTCAATACAGACATATCGCTGTAGGGCCTTTATTTAAAAGCTATAAGAAGACAGTTTTCTGTTCATTGTCAGAAGACGCAGAAGTAGCTTAGTCGGTATAGCGACTGGCTACGGGCTGGACGACCGAGGGGTCGGAGTTCGAGACCCGGTAGGATCAACAATTTTCTCTTTTCCACGTCACCCAGATAGGCTCTGGGACCAACTCAGCCTCCTATCCAATAGATACCGGGGGCTCTTTCCCCGGGGGCAGAGCGGCCGGAGCGTGAAGCTGACCACTCACTTCCACTAGCCGAGGTCAAGAAAATGTGGATCTATACATCCACTCCCCCATACGTCTTCATGCCGTAGTGCTTAGTTAGTTAAGCACAGGGTCAACCTTATGGTTTTTTAGAAGACTCAGAAGTTGTTTTTGATCGTAATGATGCAGGTTTGAAGAAACTGTTTGAAATTTAGTCTGTACAGATGAGTGACTAATCTGCCTTTGAAAGTGTGTATTCAACTGTGAACATTATCTTTCATTTTTCATATTTCGATCTGGATTATCCGATATTCGGATTAGCGAGGGCTCACTCTACTATTACAATAACAAGTTATTAATATTATTATTAGTATTATTATCGTATTATTATTATTAGTAACGAAATGTATTAAAGTCAGGAATTTTTAGGGCGTTTGCTTCTAAAACTGTCAGTTTCGTGGAGCCGCCGATAACGATCGCGCTTACCAGATGCTGAAGAACCTGTCCCGCACGCGACGTTTCTGCTCCTCGCTCTTACGTCGATACTGCAGCCTCCTGCAAGCCTCGCTGGACAGCGGGGGCGGCAGCTCCTTGTAGAAACCTGCGTACACAAGATGGCGAGACGTCTCAGTGCAGTCAGCCTGTTCATAAGTTTCATTTATTTAATTTACGTTTTATTTAACGGCGCTGTCCGTAGCTCAGAATACAGCGTATCGAATGGTAAAACGAATACTGAAGAACTGATAGGAAAGGATTTGGAAGTACGCGGTAGTGGCATGGCAGTCTCATGGAAGGACTGAGGACAACCACGAAAAGCCAATTAGGGTAGTCAGTGCCCAGGCAGAGATTCGAATCGAGCACCGTCCCAAATACAAGCCTAGACCGTTAGCGTTATACCAACCTGCTCGTTAATTTATGCATTCATTTATTTGCCCCTCTGTTTATTTTATGGTTTGCATCACGAAGCTCCCTGTAGTACAGGCTGTTTGTATCGATAGAATGATTGATGAATGATGATTCAGAGACGAGGAGGAAGGAAGAGGACATGGCCTAATTTGAGGAATTCAAGTTGGTGATGATTACGATCGTCTTCTACCCTGCAAAGGAGGCAGGGAGTTTCTGTCGCGACTCACTTTCAGATGAAAGATATAAAAGTAAAAGTATTCCTGTAACAGGGCGCAGAGGCCCATTGGGGTGTGAGACGTCGAGGCTCCCACATTTTCTAGAAAATCGGCTCAAAGAAGGCAGTGAGGTTGTCAGCCTTACGCGCCGGTCGCCCTGCACCCCCCAGGAAGATTCTTGGTACTCATTTCTGTTAGAGGCTGAGTTGACCACAGGGCCAAAGTGCGGCTGGAACGATTACGTATGTAAGGAAAAGCCGTCCCTGTGCTTAACTAATTAAGCACTACGCCAAGAAGGCGTATGGGGGAATGGATGTACAGATCCACACTTCCTTGATCTCGGCACTAGCTGGAAGTGAGCGGTCAGTCGCTTTACACCCCGGGGGAAGAGACCTCGGTACACATTCGATAGGAGGCTGGGTGGACCCCAGGACCGTTCTGGACGACGTGGAGAAGAGAAAATTCTTGATCCTACGGGGACTCGAATTCCGATCCCTCAGTAGCCCAGCCTGTAGCCGGTCGCAATACCGACTACGCCATCCCGAACTGAAAAATCCAATGATCTCATCGGGAATTGAACCCACGACCTTCCGGCTTGTAGCACAGTGCCTCAACCAACGACGCTTCCGCGTGCCCCAAGTAATTCGAGGTACTATCCAAAACATGGCTTGGAGGAACTGACAAAAACCACGAACATCAGTCACAATAGTTGTGTGTCCGTATCGAGATTTAAACCAGCGAAGGAGGAGTACGGAACCGCGCGACGTTTCGGCACATCTTTGGCTTCCGTACCAGGATGACATTTCATTAACCACTGGGAGACACCAGCGACCCCCACAATGAATTCACCGTAGTTCCATGTGTCACACAGTAGAATGAATCTGACCGTGACTCAGTGTTTTCTGGTAGATATTTATCAACGTTTACGGGCAACACGACTTTCGGGTTAGAAGAGAAGAAACCTTGGTAAATAACTACCAGACTACACGGAGTCACAATAATACTAGTGGAAACGCTATATGCTTGTATTTGGGATGTTCTTGGTTCGAATCTTGGCTGGGACACCGACTGTCCTGACTGAGGTTCTTCGTGGATTTTCTCAGTTCCTACAGGCAAATTCCAAAGCAGCATCTCAATCAGGCCACGACTACTTATCTCGAGTCCGCACGCGGTAGCGTAGTTGGTTGAGGCACTACGCTACAAGCCGGAAGGTCGCGGGTTCAAGTTCCGATGAGGTCACTGAACTTCTTTTTTCAATTGACCTTATCCTTTCAGCCACACTACGGGCCTGGGGTCGACTAGCCTCTAACAAAATGAGTACCAGGAATATTCTTAGGGGTAAAGGGAGGCCGGCGCGTAATGCTGACAAACTTGCCGCCATTATGAGCCGATTGTCTACAAAATGTGGGAACCTCTACATCTCACAATCCTATGGGCCTCCACGGCCTGTTGCAGGGATAGCTTTACTTTACCTTTTCCAATTCATTATCCATCCGTCATCCTACCATATGAAGCTATGTTGCCTAGTTAGTTAGTTAGTTAGTTATTGGAGAGGGTGGGTTTCCCCATGCACTTAGACCAGTATTGGTCCATTGTGCTTCCCTCTATGATATTCTACCAGTCTCTATACCCTACCGATATTGGTGCGTACCATCAATCCCGACCGAACCAGCGAGTTCGGCCTCTACTGGCTTAGCGGTATCTATAATGCTTCCCCCATCTATCAGAGGCGTTAGAGACTACTGTTGGGCGGGAAATGTCCTTGAATTTGGCTCAGAGACCTCCTTTGGAGATATGAGGTTCTTTTACGTGCCGTAAAGCTACGACACAGAACCCACGGCTTAAATTCCCTCCCGGAGGACTTGTTCCCTGAATTTTCCGCCCTTAAAAATTCCACGACCTCCGCCGGGTTTGAACCCGCGTACCACGAGTCATGAGGTGGGAGCTATGTTGCCTAAATACTGAGGGTGTCGTAGGTCTCCGTGAGCCGAGGAGCAAGAAACCGCACACGCTGCGCGCTCCCAACAGAAGGGCGCTGAATCTTCCGGAGTCCACTAACCGAGCGAGACACGGTCTGTAGGGCGTACTTAGTTACAGTGCGTCACGCAGTGGAAATGCAACCACTGTCCCGCAATGCATTCCCAGTCTTGTCACGCGCAACCCAGATTCCAGGTCCTACGAGGACAGGCTGCAGTCTCGCTGGGGAGGGAGTGTCTGCAGACAACCGAGCCGCAGTGTGGGTCCGTTTCTTGTGCGCGTGCGCCGCCTCGAGAAGGCGGAAACCTATCGTCACGTTTAATTTACAATTGTAATCGGCTGGATGCAGAAAACGAGTGGCTGCGTTCGTTTACTCTCTTCATCCGCTCGAATGCACCGCGCCTCTGTGTAGCTGCCACAGAAGGGAGAACATTTTCATAGCATGAATAAAAGCTCCTCTATGCTCCATAGAGGAGCTTTTCAGATCAATACAACAGTTAAAGCTGACGCGTGGGTATGGTCAGTATGCCAACGAGCTGGCTCCCACAGCCAGATAACTAACTAACTAACTAACTAACTAACTTCATGGAGCTGAGCCCTTCTTGAAAAGCCGCCAGTTTTGCAGCTATTCAAGAACACCCCAAAATTTTATGGAACCCGAATGTTCATTACCGTGTTCACAAGAGCCCTCCACTGGTCCCTATCCTGATCTCTCTAAGATCCATTTTAACATTATCTACCCATCTACGTCTTGGTCTTCCTGGTGCCCTCTTTTTTTCTGGCTTTCCCAACTGCCATGAGTGAACCTGTCCCATAAGCACTGCTTACATTCCACGTACCAAATCTCATGTCAATATTCCTTAGCTTAGGACGTTTATCCAAAGATTCCGTTCAAATCAGAGGTCCTTTGTGACATTTCGCAACAAACTTATTTATTACTGCGAGGAGTTGTTAGCCCCATGCCCAACCCCCCATGCTGGAAGCCCACCCCTTGTCGGCTGTCCGCGGCTGATTATTCAATATACTGGCAGCTACCCTCCATTTCGGGGAGACGTCTCCACCATCGGCAACCTGAGGACCGCGCCATGCAGCGGTAACAAGGGACAAGACTGCATACTGACTGAGTGCTGTAACGTTGAAGGCTCCCCGACAAGCGGAAACTAAATAAATGAACACGACTGCAAAGCTGCGTACAGCTTCCACACGCGCTTTGTGTTTTGCGTCCTGGCGTTCAGTATGCTCTTAGCTGTCAAAGTGCTCTGAGGAATATCTGTTTATTTAAGTAGCGACGCTGTCAGGAACTCCAATGATTGGTTCATGGCGAATATTAAATTGGATAGGATATGTAAAAGGAAATTATCGTGGCATGATTAATGTACTATTCCAGCATTTATCTGGAAACACTGAAGAAAATCATGAAAAACCTCAGTCAGGACAGTTCGCGTCCAGGCCGTGTTACGAACTGGCAGCCTATACATACCAGAACCGTTAAGTACTGAGCTAACTTGGGTGGAGGCTTTGATGAAGCTATTAACAATACGTTAACATGGCTACTGAATTTAGGAAGTGGCGCTGATGTCGCTCCCACCTCACAAGTTCGTGTTTCTGCCATGTTGTCAGTACATGTCGCAGGGAATTGTGAAACACTCGAGCTTAGGCTGGCCCTTAATGACATGCTGTTCATTTGAAATTTAGTCAAAATCCGTCCGAATTCAAAAATCAGACAGACCTGATCTCTCAATAATGCAGATACCAGACATACTTGCTTAGGCTTCTTACCAACTGCTCCTAATAAACCACGATGTATGCCATGACCGCCTCCTTTTGAATCCTTCCCAATTCATAATTCTTCACATTCACGCTGCCTATAACCAGTGCAGTTCAAATAAAATAAAATAAATGAGCACTCAAAGAAGAAAAGAACCAAGGACTGAGATAAACGTATTTTTCTCTCTTCAAAGATCTGTCACCATACAAGCCTTCAGAATTTCGCATGATAACCATGCTGGTTGTGTCGATGACAGGGAGTTGAAAAGTTAGGAAATGTATGCCCACCACAAGAATTCTGGGCATTCTGCCCTTTTACTTCATCTAGCTCTTCAATTTTCCAAGGCTTTTATAATTTTCAGTGATTGCATCCTGCTGTGTATTGCAGAACATGTTTGTAGTATCAAGCCGTACTTTACTAGTAGTGCCAGGTACTACCTGATACTACAAGCATGTTATGCAATTGTTGTGTTGTGACGGCTTTCAATAAAATAAATTCCCAAAGCTTGCTTTAGATGTCATGTTATAAATAGCATAAAAAGATGAAGGAATTGACGTAGAACGGCCTCCAACATCAAATTTAATCAAAATCAGTCCTGCGATTGTTTTCATATGATACATCGTTAAGGTACATTTTGCTTAATTATCTGGAAAAATTGCAAGATTTGGAGAAATAACGTGTCGAATATAAACAAGGTGTTACATTTCGCCTGCAAACTTCCTCTCGAAACATTTTTCGCTCCGACAAATACATATTTATAGAGTTACGCCCGAGACGGGCACCGAAATGCACGTGGGTAATCATTACATGAAAATGGTTTAGTGGACCTCTCCATTATGAGACTTAACGCAAATCCATTTCGCTACTGCCGAGTTACTAGACAGAAACAAATGAATGTAGGGAAGAGCCCAGGAAGAGCAAGATGTTTATCCTGCTGACGTGTTGAGACACTCACCGAGCCAGCTGAGATGTTCAGTTGTCTCCAGTTTATTGCGGAAGTTGTCCACTTGGTGCTTGAGCTCCTGCACGAGGGGCGGAAGCTCTTCGAAGTCCACCCTGATCTGTTTCTCCAGCCTAGCCACCCTGCGGACACAGTCAGTTCTGTCGTTCTGGTTCATAACACAACAAAACTGTGATATGGCGAACAAGAGACCAGGGGACTGAAGCTGTAACTCTCTCAGAAAATGGCATTACGCTAAATTACTAATATAGTGTGACATGTAGACCCATTGCCAAGTAACAGCTGTGTAAACAGGCGACAACACAACAGCCATCGCTAGGGAACAGCTCTATGGACACGTGTTTCCCCGGCAACGAGAAAACACGCAATAATGGAAGAGACATTTTCTGTGAGATTCGTGCCGGAGCCACATAACGAAAAGGGAACTCTCAATTCTGAGACAGTAAAATATGGTCGCGAGTCCCAAAGGACTCGGATCCGAGTAAGACTGCGCTGGAAAAGGCCAGCTACATATACAAAAGACAGACCCGTCCTCTCGTCAGAGAAGGCGCCCCACAGACACAAGACCGTAACTGTCAAACGGTAATAAGTAATATCTGGTCATGAGCCCCAAAGGAGGCTCGACATCAAGACTTACTGACTGACCGTCAGTCGCAATGTGACTTTGACTTGGAGAATTTTTTTTGTCGTAGGAGGCGACGAAAAAAGGAAGTCTCAAATCTGAGAGAGTAAAATATGGTTGCGAGTCCCAAGGGACTCGGACCCGAGAAAGCCTGCGCTGAAATTGTCCGCCGTTGGAAGACGTTACCAAGCAACGGCTAGTGATGACGGTGACTGAGAAAATTAGTCTTTGTGTGACAGTGATTTGGAAAGTATAGTCATGTGTTGTTTAAGAGTCCAGTAAATCCGATGAAGTAACAAAACCCCGTCTATAATCACTCAATCACGTGACAATATGATCTATCGGAAGCGACTGTGGCCTATAAAACATGATACTTTATCTGAGACATCAATGAGGGTGCGTCATATCTTGAGTACACGATGACGTAATGATGTACGTCACTATCTGATGGTGACGAAATCTCGAAGATGGTTTAAACAGAATTTAAGGTTCTCACAGCATGACTGTGAAGAGTACAGTCTTCTGGATTGCAGTTCGGAGAGATCCGGACGTTTCGGAGAAACTTATTTCACCCATCCTCAGGATCACATTGTGACCCAAGCAAGAAACCAGCAAGGAGACGGCAAGCTTGCATGGCTCAGTACTGTTTTATTCAACATTAACCTCCCCACCCAAAAGCAAATCTGATCTAGGAAAGGCCTAAAGTTTAACATCTAATAAACTCACCTCTGCTCCAGGGCCATGAGATCGATGCCCACTTCATCCAGCAGCATACCTGAAAAAGAGATTTGTTGACACTGTATCAAGTGGTGGTGTGTACAGCGTACAGAGGAATGTGTAACGCACAACAGACATCCTGAACAAGCCTGTATTTCAAGATAAATTAATCCTTTAAAGCACGTTCCATACGCTTTAACACTAAAAACTCTGCATTCTGGCCACAGAGTGTATCTGTGTGTTCCGTACGGTTCTCACAATAAGCAGCGACTGTTTCCCTGAACAGCTTTAACGGGTTGTGCCTTGCAGTGGAGACGTAATGTGTCCCCTGTGAGGTACGTACTGAATTTTTAAATACTAATCTTCTCTCTGACGACTTGACACTCTGGGTCCAGGCAAGTGCCGGATATAGAGGTGGCTGATCAGGAATGTCGCACATCAGTTGCGCAGTCGCAGATGAGCATGGATTGATCGTGGAGTGATGACTGGAATGCTGATCACATGTCCCGACAACCCTGACTCCCTCCTTTTAACTTCGTCTACCAGATCGGAGGGTTTACACAATTCCACCAGACCTGTTTCTATCCTTAGCCTCTCCAATTCGCGTACCAGGCTGTAAAACCTGGGGACTTCAAGACGAGCGCCGCAAGTCACCACAAAACCAGCGAGCAGAAGCAAAGTGACAGACCACTCACCGCTACAGTGGGCAGCCACCACCTGGAGGCTGTAGCAAGAGTCGGGTGTGTTGGGCGTTATGGCGGGGCAGATGTTGATCAGACGCCCGTCTGGCGTGTACAGCTTCAGGATGTCTTGGGGCCCAGCTTCTGCAGCCGTTCGGAACAGCTCTGCAACAGACAGTGAGCCCAAGTGAGCGCATAAGTTCGAAGGCGTGACTCATTCGGTATAGTGACTGGAGAATCCGGCAATGAACGGGTTAGCTCAGTCAGTGTAGTGATCAGGCTACGAGCCGAGAAAGAGCCGAATTGGGGCTAGTAGAGATATTTTTCCGCGCCACGAAGTCAAGAGTAGCCCCGGGACTCACCCAGTCTGCTACGGAGCAGGTACAGAAATCTCGTTCCGGGAGGTAAAGCGGCCGGGGCATCACGCTAACCGTTCATCTCCATCTCGCGACGGAGGTTAAGAACGAGGGAGGCTGTGCCTTCACTGGAATGCCAACGCTCCTGGTGGGCTGTAGCGCCAATCCTCTTGGACGGAGGGTTAACATGGAACTAACCAACCACGTGGAGTTGAGTCCTTCTTGAGAAGCCACCAGTGGCTCAATTAGTCAAGAATTCACCAAAATTTTATGGAACCTGAAGGTTCATTCCTGTGTTCACAAAAGCCCACCACTGGTCCCTACCAAGACCCAAACGAATCCATTCCATATCATTTCTCTAAGAGTCGGTTTAATATTATCCTCCCACCTACTTCCAGGTCTTAATAATGATCTCTTACATTCTGGCTGTCCAATCAAAACCCTGTAAGCACTCCCTTCTCCTCCATGCGTTGCCCATCTGAACTTGACTTGGTCACTGTAATTATATTTGGCGGAGATGAATGTGGGCATTTTAATTGGATTGTACTGGCTCAGAATCGGGATTGAACATTGGGGTTCTGCTGCTCTAGGCACCGGAGTCCGCCTTCTGAAGGCGAGAATGTCGCAACGGTGACATGAGTGCTCGCTTCTGCTTGTGTTGCAGCGAGCGAAATCGCGACAATTTGAAATGCAAACGGCGAGCGCGGGACAAATCAATTAGAGAAAGAACCGGAAACCTGTGGACCGGAGTAGCAGGAAATTGAAAGCGGCCCGCGCGTCAATACAGCTTGTTGCGTTTCCTTCTACTCTTTCGAACATGGCTGCTTGCATTATTATCATTATTATTATTATTAGTGGTAGTAGTAGTAGTACTAGTACATAAACTGACTTGGTTTGTATTTTATAAGCAACTGTCTTGTTCCCTTTTCGTCTTACTCATTCTGGCCTTGCAAATGGCCTCTTGGCTGTTAAGTTTGCACATCAATAAATAAGAACTGAATTATTATTAGATTAAATCCTAGCTTATCAAAAATAATTGGGGGGGGAGAAATTAAGCGTATTAAGCAAAATCCGGATTACTGTAGTAAAACGTAATCCTAAAAAACAAAAGAAAACTTAGAACACAAATAAATGTAAAAATTAAAGTTTATAAGTAGTACTGATAAAAATAAATAACAGAGTAGCACTGTAAAGCCCTTATTTAAAAAACTGTAAAACAATGGATTTATTCATCGCTAGAAGACTCAGAAGCTGTTCTTGTTTCTGAACGTAATGATGCAGGTTTGAAGAGACTGTCTCAAGTTCTGTCTGAACAGACAAGTGACTCATCTGCCTTCATAAATGCCACGTGTATTTTGAAGTGTATACTCAACTGTGAACAGCATTTTTCATTTTTCATATTTCGAGCCGGATTAACTGTAATCGGATTAGCGAGGGTTTACTGCAATATTGTTGTTGTTGTTGTTGTTGTTGTTGTTGTTGTTGTTGTTGCTGCTGCTGCTGCTGTAGTTACTATCATCTTCTTCATTTACATCTTGAATTCTTTCGGTGTTTTTCTCCAATTCAATTTTCTCTCTTGTCGTGAAGAAATTCACTAAGCGAAGAGCACTATGTGATGGAAAGTGACACCGTACAGTCTGTCAGATATTTACAGACGCTTATAGAGAACTGCATTGCCTCTGTGTTTACGGTAGAAGAGAGAGGCAAGCACCGAACCATAAAGAGCCAAGCTTGCTGAATTCTTCTTGCTGGTTCCTTGCTGGCCTTACTTGTCGACCTGAAGATGGAAGCAGCATACTCCTCCAAAAGCATCAATAAACTTCTACTGCACTACACAAAAGGACAGTTCCCCTCGTGCTCACCGCCGTGTGGACTTCAAATCCAGAATTAAATATTAGAATTGACTGAGCCTCTAATAGAAATGAGTACCACGAGTTTTCGCGCGGGTTAAAGGCGGCCGGCACGTAAGGCTGACAACCTTACCGCCATCTGTGAGCCGATTGTCTAGAAAATGTGGGACCCTCAACATCTAACAACTCTATGGGCCTCCACGGCCTATTACAGGGATAGCTTTATTTTTTTTCCCCTACTCAGTAGGATCTGTGGATTCTATTTATGATTTGTGGAGACCCCTGGGAGACCGGCCCTGGGCTCTGTGACTGGCCAGGACTCGGACTTCAAAGCAGCGAACATCTTGGTCACATGAAGGAGCTGCAATGAGCTGCTATTGTTGTGACTCACTGGACGAATCCCTTTAGCGTCATGCGGCGTCATTATACGTTTTAAACAGGGCTGCCAACTGCTGAAGTTCAGAGCGAACTTGCGAATCCAATTAGCGACCCCCCCCCTTACACACATACACACACAACTCTTGATTCGTGGGGGGGCTTTCAGATCGATAATCGAGTCGTGTTGAAGAATCGGTCGGTGTTCCTTTTCTGAAGGAACTGAGAATCGATCTGTAACTGCAGCGCCACTGTAGCGCACTGAGAAAAACCTAGACTCCCCTTCACCCACATACGAAACAAAAGTATCGACAGAAAAAATGTTATCTTCTGGGACTAACGGCGTGTAGTCCGTTGAAAGTCAGCGGACATTTCGGAGGAACATGTCTCCATTTCAGCTACTTGCTTTGCTAATTTTTCCACCCTGAAGATGGTTGACTTTTAACAGGCTACATGTAGTTCCATCCCAGAGGACACAACTGTTCGTAACCACCGCTGTGAGACCCTCAAATCCTACAGGAGTACGAACTAGCCATCCTGGACATGGGCAAACTGAGGGAGTCTGAGAACAGGGGGTTGAGAACAGGGCGTTGAGAACAGGGCGCCGAGAGCAGGGCGCTGAGAAGAGAGCGCTGAGGACAGGGCGCTGAGAACTGGGCTCTGAGAATATTTAGACCTGAGGGAGATGAAGAGGCAGGCACAGAAGGAAAATTTCATGATGAGGAGCTTCATAATTTCCACTCTTCAGAAAATATTGGAGGGATTAGGATCATGAATGAACGAAAATGAGATAGGCGGTGCATGTAGCATGCAAGTGAGATATAAAAATTGCTTAAAAAGTTTTGATTGTAAAAGTTTCATGGAGCAGAGCAGTTTGAAGAACAACGTGTGAACGGGAGGGAGATATTGAAATCCAGTGTGTAAGGATTGGATTCATCTGGCTCAAGAAAGACTAGTGACAAGCTGTTGTGAACGCGGTAACGAACCTTTGGGTTCACTAAAATGCGACAGACTTATTAACACGGTGGGCACTGCTCCTTTCAGTTGCTGGAGAGCTATGTGGGACAAAGGCTGGACCAAACAGCCTTAAACGTTGAGGCTGCAGGCGGGCTGATAATCCCTTCGTGCCGTAGCAAGATACCACCTCGGTTTGCCACGTGTCTTCACGCTGCTATCTTGCTCGGCTTGCTCGGCACTGAAGGTGGAGGTGATACTTTCCCCCGTACAGTCTGCTGACGCCGCTATACCGGAGAAGACACAACTTTCCGTCTTTCTGTTCAGCTTCCGATTTATTGTCATGTCAATTGATTATTCAAGTTTCTTATAATAACAATTTTAATATGAAAAACGTTAACATTCTTCTGGGATCACCCTGTATAACGTTTTGGAGGATCCAACCCTCTTGGCAGATCCTTTCTAAACATCCAACGAATTCTTAATTCTGTCTTTATTTCTTCATTTTCTATGAGAACATCTTGTGGAAAGGATCCTTATAACTTCAAAGGATCCCGACCGTGAAACTGCAAAGCGCAAGAACGGCGTCTCGTGTACCAGGGGCATTATCTGTGACGCAGAGCACTTGAGGGGGGAGCGGTTTATGATATTACACGGAATGAAAATACAACATTTTCAAATTCGCAGACAATTATTGTGCCTGGCTTTGTTGTTTTGTCCGTAGAAAAGCAATTTCCCCATCCATGTCCGTGGTCGTTGCGCTGCAGAGTGGCATATGTGCTGCAAGCAGACGAATGGCCTAAGGCGATTTCATTTCCCGCCTTGTTAACAGCAATCGGTACCGCCCCGCGACACGCGCTCGGCTTATGAACGGGATATGGAGCATAGAACCCTCCCCGCTCTCCTCTGGAGGTCACGAGTTCGAATCTGCACAATCTGCTTCTGAGCAATTCATTCCTCGGAGAAGAGTTCTTCTTCAGAAACTTACAGTTGCTCAGAGGGTCAAGAAATTCCGTTTTGTATGGAATTTAGACCAAATCATGAGCCAGTTCAAATGACTTTTCTAATACAAATTTTAATATTATCATCCAGTCTACTCCTAAGTAACTCACTCCACGGAGCCGAGCCCTTCTTCAGACCAGAATGGTTGCTCAGCTAGTCAGGAAAACCCTTGCTCTTTATGGAAAGTATAGGTTCGTTACAGTGCTCACACAAGCCCGCCACTGGTCCCGATCCAGTCCACACAGCGACACCCTGAATATCTTCCTAAGGTCAATTCTAATATTATTCTCCCATCTACGCCTAGTTCTTCCTCCTTCACTCTTTCCTAAGAACATTTTTTGTGCACTTATGTCCTCTCCCAGGCTCCTCGTACATTTCGCCATTCATAATCCTGCCGTCTTGATTGTACATCGCGAGGAGTACCAAGTATGTTTTTAATATTATCCCCCCAACATGCACGTCTAGGTGCTGACCTTTGACCTCGTCCGCTGGAGTGTCCGTGCGGAAGTGTGCCGCCTCACAGTGGTCGCGGTGCTGCACGGTGAAATAGACCACTCTGCTCTTCTCGAGACACTCCATCCGCAGGCAGCAGTGCGCGTGCTCATTGTGCAGGCAGCGGGCCCCTGCAACACACCAGCCCTGGTCTGTATGAGAATGCGTACATGTGCAGGTACCCTCATGCACGCTCCCGCCGCCCCCGCCGCCGCCTGGCTGGGTCACGACCTCGTCACAGGAGCAGATCGTCTCGATAAGTGTGCCTCGTGCCAGCCCCACCCGCTCCGCGCCCCTTCTCTTGCACAACACGCCCAACGTGTAACATGTGCGCGGGTAGAGACACGGTCAAGGAATCGGGGTTCGATTCCAGGTAGGACAAGAGATTTTCTCTTCTTCACAGCGTCCACACACCCAGCCACTGGGTGCCGGACCTCTTTCTCCGGTGGATAAAGCGGCCGGGGCGTGAAGCTGACCACTTACCTCTCATCTAGTGCAAAATTTATACCTCCACTCCCACATACGCCTTCCTGTTACGGTACTTAACTAAGCAAGGGATTAACTTCACAATTTAACTTTGCTCCAGTTGCACAAGCTGCTATTCCTTTAATACCGTACAATGAGCTAGTTTAATCCACTCCATGGGCGCCGCTAGGATCCCTCCAAGGGGGAGGGGGGGCATCTGGTTGTCCAAGGATGAGCAGCCGGAAGAATTTGCTAACGAACTTACGTCTACACGGCTTCAGGCCATTTTACTTATCACGCGACAGCTTTTACTTGTTCCCTCGGCCCCCTGAACAGCTCTCAGTTTCCCTTGTCATCAGCGCCTACATCAGAGGCTCTCCAGCCATCCCTGTACCAGGCCGTGGAGGCCCATCGGGTTGTGAGACGTAGAGGCTCCTACATTTTCTAGACAATCGGCTCACAGATGGCGGTCAGTTTGTCAGCCTTACGCCCCGGTCGCGCTTTACTCCCCAAGAATATTCCTGGTACTCATTTCTGTTAGAGGCTGAGTCGATCCCAGGGCCATAGTGCGGCTGGAAGGATTAGGTCTATTGAAAAAAAAAATGAATTACCTCATCGCGAATCGAACCCGCGAACATTTTGATCCGTATCCATTCAATATGGCCCTACTTTACATTAAGATTATGATTACTTCGATTTAAAGGAAATGACTGATGGGAGCGTTACCTCCGGATCTCACTGGAGACATCTGTCGAAGTGGTTAACAGTTACTGATGTAAGAGGAAGAATTTCATGACCCGTTACAATGTCACGGGTCTACATATTTTATTTGAAACATTCCTCGCTAAGCAAGCTGACTCAAACGGTAACGCTCATTCCTTGTGTTATGGAGGCACTCGGTTCGTATCTCGGGCAGAACAATTAATGTCCTCAGTGAGACTTTTCGTGTTTTCCTTCCTCCCTTTAAAGTAAAGGCTGGGATATTACCTTAAAGTAGGCCACTACCGCATCCTTATGCAACATATCCCACTCTTTACTTACTGCGATTATGACGACTCCACATGACAGCAGAGGTGCTCAGAACGTGGCTCACACAGAGGCATGCGGCCCTTCTGAACCGTCGGTGCAGTTTGTGGCAAAGAAGGTACCACTCGGTCCGCTTTATATCGCTGCATGGGAAGCCCCTATCCACTCCGCGTCTATTTGCGGCTCTCACGTTAAGTTTGGCCACCCCTGCTGTATAGTCTGAGATGCTGACAACGTCATTCAGTAAACTATAAATCGATAAATAAGGGACATGTTTCATTCCTGCCAATGTACTGCGCAGTGCCATCCTACAGGGGCAGATCTGTTCCTGTAATTCTATGCACACGCATACGGCAAGATGCCTTCACGTCAAGCAAACGAAAGGAAGTCATCTCGGGCAAGCAGCTGCGTCATCCTGGATAGAAAAGACTCCATATTCCAGTTACTATGACGTCCGTAAAATGGCAGAAGCCACATTTGAAAAAAAAATTTCTCTACTGTAACCAAATAATCGTTTGTTGCAAGCAGTTTCATCGAACTGGAGTAAAATCCTTCTTACACGAACTGTAATGTGCAATGTTACAACCTTGCATGCCGGCTACACGCAGAACACCCGAATAGAACAAGTTGCCGCATACGCGTGGCGGAAAATCAACTTCCTGTGCGGAATGAGTACAGATTGACAGCACTAACTTCATCTTCACATGCATTTGTTCGACATTAACTTCCTCACAGTAGATATTAAATTTTTGATATGAGATAAACGAGCCTCTTTCTGGTATGTTCGATCCTGAAGATAAAGACATGTCTCTCGGTCGGTCGGGCAAATTGCTGCTAGCCCTCGCCAGCACTGTCACTCTCGGGTCATCGCCACTAGTTACATAATTGAATTTTTCATTTATTTGTGTTCTAAGTTTTTTTTTTTGTGTATTTCAGGATTAACTTTTTCTGCACTAATTCGGATTGTCGCTTAATCCGGATTATACCCTTCGTCCCAATCAATCCGGATTAGAGACGGTTTACTGTACGTGTTCTATAAAAGTCATGTGTCACAACGTGACCTTTCAAATCCCCGCTACGCGTTCTGTTCGCAGTGTGAGCTGACGCTCGATACGATTCGGCAGCTGCTGCCTCGCTGTCAGTGCCTCTCGTGCAGCTCACAGCGAGGCAGCGGTGCAAAGACAAAATGAAGCGTCTTTCACTTATTCTGATCTGAAATGACAGATCTGTTACGTGAACGCCCAGACTAGTGACCGCTGCTCAGGATAACAATCGCCTTGAAACAAACAATGAGTACAGCCGTTGCTATGCAATAGGGAAATAAAAAAAAAGCCGTTTCTGAGCAACGGCTCGGTAAACAATTTCCCACGGAAATTAACAGGCAGGAAACAATAGAAAAATGGTGTTTTGGATGTGGTCCGCGTCGAGGAGTTACTAAGAAGACAACTGGAGTAATCCAGTTAGTTGAGAGCTGAAAGTCCGGCTGTGAAGAAGAGTTAGGTAGGCCGCACACCGGCATGCGTCAAGACACGATGTTTGCGACATGACGCTGACGTCATGACTCAGATCGGTGTGCGGCGGTTTTCATAATCTCATTCGTTTCAATTTTGCTCCGTTCTTTGCATCATGCCGCAGACATCGTGTCTTGACTATTGCATGTCTTGGACGCATGCCTGTGCGCGACCTACCTTAGTTACAAGAGTGCGGCTTTGAAAAGAAGAGTTTATGTGTAGTATCTGGAGTGTGTAATTCACTGAGACGGTTAAAATTACTGTGTTAAAATGCGTTGCCAGGATACGACTAGTGAAGACTGAGAAGATTTGTAAAATATGGAGATGGATGAATGCGCTGTAATTCCTTGTAGTTCCAAGCTGTGTCAATAAATCCGATATGCAAGCCATACCCCGTCTGTAGTCACACATCTAAGACGTGACAATAATAAGATTTCATACTGTTGTCAGTAAACCAATAACCCGCCTACTATGGGAACGCGTGTGCGTCATGGTACGTTAGTGACGTACACGTCGTCATTACAAAGTTGCTAGGTTGTGTTTTCAACGTGCTTCCGCCGGGGAATTCAAGTATACCTAAAGGGGACTTTTATTCTGTAAAGTTGCCTATGTGAGGTATGACGCGCCAAGGTTCGGATGGCGATAAATGCTGGACGCTGGGTGAAGCGACTGACACCAGAAATGTGTGACCATTTAATAATACCAGTTTCCGGTGGCCTTTAGGTGCTCCCCATTGGCCGAAACGTCGGTAACAAAGTTTATGACAAGGAACCGCCGTGAGAGCAATTCCCGAGAACGTTAGTTGGACTAAGCAGACGCACCGAAATGAAGACAATTGGATACACGGAATTGGCCAGTGGAGGGGCATACCCAGACAACAGAGAGACCTGGGAAGGCGTACAAAAAGACGGAAGAACAAACAGCGCGCTTTGTTATACCAATAACGTCCGGACGTCAGGAGAATGTAACAAATATGAGGAGTTCAATTAGAAAGACTTGTACATTGTAACGTGGAAGACCAAAGCGTTGCTAGGCAACGGTTCGATATACACGTGGGCTATGCTACAACTAGTTGCTAGGTGACGCAACACTGCTGACAACGGAGGTGACTGGTTTCCTATAATGTTATGTTGTTATAATGTTGCGTGCATGTAGGGGGCGTTACCTAGCAACGGCTGCTGTTCAAACAGTCATCGTTTAGCAACGGGCCCGTACGACACAATACCCGTTAACAGTAATTCCTATATTTAGTAATCAAGAAACACGATATGACCATCCGATACAGCGTTTCGTGAGAATTTCTGTTGTGAGCGCTGCTATGACTGTTAGAACACAGTGGGATGAGAGATGTGTGACGAATTGGAAATCATTTGTAAGGAAGCGGTCGTGGCCTATATCCCGGGCATTTGTCTGGGGGGACTGTGAGGAATCGCGGTGGCCCGGTCGAGGTTCGCACCGAGAGGCCCCTGAATGTGAGTCTAGCGCCTGGAGGTGCGCACACCCGCTCGGCAGCAAGTGCTCTGATGGGCACCTACCACAGGTGCGCACGGCACTAATGTCAAATGCCCAAAAGTAGCAGCCACACGACCGCAGGACGTGTCACTCGTGCAGGCGCCCCACCTGGCGGACAATTACTGCGGCCTCGTGCATACAAAGCGACGCCGTACGCCGCATACAAATTGCGTTCTATCGCCTCACGTCCTCAGGTAACGAGTACACTGAAACCGAGGAGCGTAATGCGTCATAGAAAGTTTGTCTCTCCCGCGTCTCAGACTGGGGGATTTGAGCAGCAGCACTTTGTTGATGGCCTTCGCCAGCACAGTTTCGAAATGAGGCCGCCTCTTCGACGAGAGATGGGTTCTGGGTACTGCTACCGACTTACTAGTTGAGATGCCAGGTTCTGACAACGGTGACTATAAACATTACTGTCCTCTGCTATGTGACGCCGTGTAGCCAGACAGATACTGGAGAAACATACTGCCTCAATCTTCAGGATCAAATCACACTTCTATCCTGAAGATGGGGGAAGCAGTTACCTCCGAAAGGCTGACAAATATCTACTACGCGATATTTAAGGTTCATTCGGTGGTTACTATAAACATTACTGTCCTCTGCTATGTGACTCCGTG